ACTTATTTTAGCGTTCTAAACAGTTTAATGATTACGGTTACATATTCCGGTTAGTTTAGACGGTTACTCAGAAACGGATTTACACAATTGTCGCCCATAGGCAAATTTTATCTTCACACCCCATTAAACTTATCAATGAGAAAATTAAATTTTAAGTACTTATTTAACATATAAACTAAAAAAAAATAAATTATATAAACTGTTCTAATCAAACAAATATTGTTTATAAAATATAGTGTTTACTCATTAATAATATCTGAATATTAAGGCTATCCGCCTTAAAAGTTGTGTTGAAAATAATTGAATGTCTAATCCAATCAGAATAAACATATGGACAATACCTATTGGCCGCCCTCCAATCCATAGTCACGAAGAAAAATATTATTACAGTTTTATCATTCGGATAGAAAAAAGTTGTATTTTTCCACATGTAGTGTGTAATAACCAACACTTGATAAATATGTATACAATTAAATTAACTTTTGGATTATGAAAATGTATTACTATAAGGTATATAGTTTCCTTCAATTGTAAATATTAAAAATTACCTTAGAAAATCTAAAACAAAACTAATATTCTCAATAAAATATTGGTGTAAAATTGCCGCCCCTAAAAATTGGCCGCCCTAGGCAACCATCTACTTTGCCTGACGTTAAATCCACCATTGCGGTTACTAAATTGTAAATTCGTAATTTTGGTTACCAATATATTTGATAACACTATCACAATATTTCACGTTATGTTTTATCTAATGACGATGTTAGTAATAATAGCTTGACTGTGATGAAAGGATCTACAAAGGCCGAGTCGGAGTACACCCGGTTAATGTTTTCATCTACTTTCAGAATTCTTATCGCTTTATTAGTTCAATCGGTACGTTGGAAATAAAACACGTCTAAACCACTATATCTTACGTGTGTGAGACAAAGATAGAAACTCGTCACTTCCAATCCCCTTAAAATAATTATGATCAATTTCTATACACAAAATTGTAACTGAAATATGTAGTTGTTTATTGTAAGAATTGTTTAAAGGGGATAGTGGGGACATAAGCCCCATAGAATGGTTGACGTGTCCGTAAATTTAGCACCCCCAACGTATTGGTAGTTTAGTTGCGTTTATATGAATATGATCAACACAATATCAATAATATTATGGGATGCGGTTCTCATTGCCAGGATGTAATCTATAATATTTATAATTGGAGCATTATCAGCTAGTAAATATATAATTGTACGACGACAAAATGATAATACACATCGACACATCATGCTGCGACGTGAACTCTAGGATTTTACGAATACCAGGCGATTGTGAATATTATTACTTTATTTTACGAGCAAAATTAGTAACTTTATAAGAAAACATTTAATTTGTGTAGGTTGTTAGTTACATAAAGAGTTACGCGAAAACGAATCGAAATAATTGATACGAATTAAAAACGCTAATAATAACTGATTGTTTAGCGAACGATTAGTAATATTTTGTTCTAAATAGTCGTAGTATTGAATAAAATATTTAAAAAAAAAAAAACATCTATGTATTCAGAGTGATTCACCAAACGTGCTCACCCCATTTTTTTGCTTAAATTTTGCATTTATTCAAATTCTGATTTTTGAAATTATTAAGTGTAGTTAAAGCCGATATTTTCAAATACTTACATTTTTCAGAACATTTAAGGAGTATCCTGAGGTGATACCAACTTTGGTTTTTCAAATAAGAACCTATATTAAAAATTCCATAAATAGACGGAGTATTATTTTAAATAAATTTTGGTATCAACATTTTTGATTTCGCGTTAACGAAATATTCCACTTTTAAGTTTAGGTAAGAGAAGAGCAGCAATGTGCCTTGGGAATATTCCTAAAAAGTCGAAACATATAATCGGAAATTTATCGGGAGTATTCCCACGAATTTTTTTCTCCCCTAAATTGGGAATATTTTTTCGGTTCGTCGGTCCACACGAATAACAAACGTTACTTTTTTAATGTTTAAATATATTTTTTAGTTATTAAAGAGTTTTTAAGCAGTACATGTATTTGTTTTTTTTTCATAACCATAAAACAGCCTATAAAACTAATTAAAGAAGTATTGCTGTTTTTAGATACTGAACCAAGTAAAAGATCTGTCTAGGTTACAGTACAAACATAAGTTTTTTCTCTTAAATGTTTTAACAGATATTTTTTGTCGGTACTTAAAGAATGTAGGTACTTTCATAATATTAATCATAAAATAAGGATGATGATTGTTTGTGTTGGATTATGGCAATAATTTAATTTTGACTTACCAATTAGAATTTATAGTACAAATTTCCATTATTTGGGAATTTATTATAAATTCCGGAAATACTCCCTCACTTTTATATAAATACCGGGAAATTATAGTGGAGTATCATTTGTGTGGCGGTAAGGCACGCGGCATTTTACTAGTGTTCCACTACTCTTCCCTTCCCTAAAGTTAAAAGTGAAATATCTCCCTAATAGGTTGACGGAAATCAAAATTTTAATCCCAACATTTATTTAAAGTAATACTCCGTCTATTTATGGAATTTTCAGTATAGGTTCTGAAACCAAAGTTGATATTGCCACAGGATACTCCTTAAATATTCTGATAAATCTAAGTATTCGAAAATATTGGCTTTAATTACACTTAAAAATTCCAAAAATCAGAATTTGAATATATGCAAAATTTAACCAAACAAATGGAGTAAGCACGCTTAGTGAATCAACCTATATATGTAGTTTCATATTTGCGAAGAAACAAATTACTCTGAATCAATAATATTAGTTCATTAAACTCTGAACCATGTTCTGGTTTTGTACGTTTTTTAGTGGCCCACTCATCGTGCGAAGTATGTCCATATATTTTTTTAAAATATATATGTTACAACAATTTTACTGAAGTTCCATAATGCTAGTGACAGTAAATCCGATAAACGACTTGATGTTCGATAGCCGTAATGATAATATTAATGCCATCTCTAATGTCAATAGTTAGATAGAAAATCGCAAAATAATAATATTTTATAAAAACGCCGTTCGGCCGTCATCAAACGTGGCACATTCGACACATTCTTACATTTGGCAACAATAGGTACATTTTGTTAAATGTTTAGGTATTTGACACACTAATACAAAATCAAAATTTATCGTCAGTTCATAATAACTTCTTAGAATAAATATCGTATAAACGCTTCATTGAAACTGCTCCTCGATCAGGATATGATGTTGCTTATAACTTTTTTGTCTCTAAATAAAAGATTTAATATTTGGAATTGCACATTTTTGAATAAATTATTACATAATATTATTGACTGTCCTGAATTATTGAGCATTTACATTTTTAGAATATCTAAACCTGCAATCTTGTTCAAGAAATAAATCACTATTTCGATCTTTTTCGAGGGGTTTCATCATTTGAGAAAATCTGATTATAATTTGGCAGATCTATTTTTTTAATCTGATTTTAGTACACATACAATTTGATATAATTTTGATAAATTAAAAACTGAAACCACTGCCGATAGCCGCCTCTACCGGAGTCCGGCTGTTTGAGATGTGAGTGTGAGACATGGGCGATTGTTACCATCATGGCTTCACAATTAAATATAGTATTATTGTGGTATCAATGTGATTATAATTTATAATGTAATAACATTGTCAGAGTATATCATACATCTAGAATGGTACCTATTAAAATTTAGTTTTTTAATTCTGTTTTTATTGAAATATTTCTTTATAGTATTTAGATATTAAAATGTGGGAAGGAATATGAGCGAACGAAACGATCGAACATTTATTAATTTCCACAAAGTAAATAAGATAATAATATACAAATGGTCTGATATCGAAAAAAAATTAGCCTGATTCAAATATTTACTTAATTTGCTATTAATTGAAACACTAAAATGACACCTCTGTACCTTCAATTGATTCAAAATTTATGTTAGAAAAGCATTCTTATGTTCGCGGGAAATTAAATTCGTAATATAGACTTATCTAACAATAATTTATTAATTTTGTCAAATACTTTGAAATCTGACTGGAAAGGTACAATAAGGAGGTAATTTTTCGATTTTCCCAAAAGTTTCCCAGCAAAATGAAAAACTGGGAAAAGATATGGGAAAATCGGAGAAAACGCATGAAAACCGATTAAACAAATATTAGTAAAGAAAATATATGATGCCTATTTAAATATTTTACCATCATATGACATAGGTACCTTTTACCTTTTTATCATAGATACATTGTTGACAAAGCATCACTATCAACTGAACTCATGTCAGAATCGTTTTTTTGTTGGTTTATCGTTTCTTACAGATATACATTAAATTCTCTTCTGTACTCTACCTTCCCAACTTTCTACCTACAACACTGGCTGCACCCGTCCCCATTATCCTAGAATAGCTTCTTTTTTTTTTTATATTATTATTATATACTCTCAATTTGTTTTATCAGGTATTTAATATTTAAAGATTTTTCTAGAATATTCCTATATTATATATCTTCCTACTGTCGATTTAAAATAAATATGGAATTGGAATTAATTTCTGTAAAATATTATAAATTATTAAATAAAAACGTCTGGTTATAAGATTATTTGTACTAGCTATTTTGTAACTAACTATTTGTACCATTCATTTATTTTACTATCTATAATACATTAATACCATAGTATACCATTCGTTTCTATATTAATATCATTTTTACATTCTAATTAAATATTTATTTTTTAGTTGATTATTTTTTAACATTGCATTATAACCGTCCAGTCAAGGCGCCAATGTATGGTGTAAATAGCCAAATAGGTATCATTGTATTTTTATATCTCGAACGATTGCGATCGGCGCCATTAAAACCATGGCCGTGTCGGCCGATGTTCGATGACAATATCATTACGTCGCGAAATTCCAACGACAGATGGAGCAACGTGTCCGTGGCGGCGGTGCCAGTGCGCTCAGGTGACGCGACACAATATTATTGTACGCTGTTCGCCGTGTCCTTTCATCAATACACCTTTTCACTTTTTCCATCTTTTTGTTCTTTTTCTTTTTTTTCGCCGCCGATACGACGATACAACCCGCCGCCGACTCACCTACACAATTAAAATGGCGGAACGTTATCAACACAACAGAAGATGTCATTGACGCTTTTTCATTGTTTACGATGTGTAATCCAATTTAATAATACTTTCTGCTGGAATCGTTTACGTTAATATACCTGACAAATGTTTTCCCGTAAACGTTCCATTATTGACGAAGGCTAAAATGACGATGTGCATACTTTTCGATTGCATCGATTTTAGCCGTACAAACGATTCCGTCGCGGCAGCAGCAACCGTGTTAATTGTTTTTGCGTGTAACTAAATATTATCGCACAACTGAACACCCATTGTTTCACGAAGTTCCTCAGGTCTGTTTTGCAAGTTAATGTTAAAAAGGTAAGTGCACAACCGTCGCGTAAGATATCCCGTCTGTCCGCAAAACCGTACATTCTTAATTGACCAGTCGGAATGTCCGTGGGTGTTTATTTAACAGCAACAATGGTGTTTTCAGGTACAATGACAGTCTTCAGCCAATAAGATTGGTTACGGACCATCTAACCGAACGGCTGAATCTCGATAGTGCGTTTGTGTTACCGACAATCAATTCGAGTACAGTATCGTTTGAACCTAAACCGACCAAATTGACGAAAAAGAACCGGCCGACCACTGGACAACATATTCGGCTTGCGGCCAAAAATAATAATCAGAATGACGTGACAACGATGAGCAACAATCTCATGTTTCGAAGTATGTTTTTTATGAACGAGGAAGCTAGACATTTCTTGGCGCCGCCGATTCAGTTGACCACAACTGACGGAGAATATTTTACACGTAAGACTGGTAATCCAAATTTGAATACACATCATCAACAACAACAGCAGCAAGCAGTTGCTGCGCTTGTAAATCACGATTCTAGTTCTAGTGAAATCAAACCGTTACAAGTGAGTCTTTTCTTAGCAACGTTTAATGGATTATTATTAAGTGGACTTACTTATCATATTTTATAACTATTTAGCCACCCAAAGCTCGCCCTCACGGTTGTGAAGAGTGTGGCAAAACGTTTTTAATGAAACATCATTTGTCGACTCATATGAGAGGTCATACCGGTGAGCGTCCTCATATTTGTCCTGAATGCGGTAAAACCTTTGCTCTCAAACATTGTTTGAGTACTCATTTGCTATTACATAGCTCCGAAAGACCGTACAAATGTATGGAATGCAATAAAAGCTTTACTTTAAAACATCATTTGGTTTGTACTTCTTTCACCTAAAAAAAAAAAATTACCAAAAATACCATGTTGTTTTTATTTATAATCATTTTTTTTTTTAAATTTAGGTAAGTCATGAACGAGTACATACTAGAGATAGACCATTCGAGTGTCCAGAATGTCGTCGTAGATTCCCCCAAAAACGTCACTTAACTACTCACATAAAATTCCATTCCGGAGAACGACCGTATTCTTGTTCTGTAAGTACAATGTATAAGAATAATCATGGATAGGGTTGACAGAAATATACCTAAAACAAATTGTTTAAATGTGTAAGTTGTTACACCTTACAAATTACCAAAATATGCTTTAAAAAAAAAAAAAAATAATAATTTATTTTAATATTTCAGATTATTTATATTTTATAGTATAAATGATTTATAAAAAATAATGGTATAGTATTTTGATATTTGAATTTCTTTTTTCATCTGAACATTAAACATAATTTAAATTTTTTCCTGTTAAATACTGATGTTTATAAATCTTGAATAATTATTTTGTGATTCTCAATCTTTTGAGTTGAACATATCTAAAATAATTACAGTCTTTTATATGTTCTTAAAATTTACAAAATTCTAAATCATTTTGCAAATTTTTGAGATTTAGGTTATGAAACACCTTAGTATTAGCTAACTATTTTAATTTTGACCAACTAATAAAAGTATGGAAATGCAAACAAATGTTGGCCCTAGCACATCACTGGTTGTGCGAGGTAAATAATCTTCCAGTATATTAATAAATATGTGTTTTTCCATAATTATCTTTAATACGGATTCCTAAGTCTGATTAGCTTATCAAAATTACATTATAATTAATTCAATAATGATATTTATTTATTTCATCGAAAAACTATTCTAGTTTGTTCAGTACACGCATGCCAAGAACAATTTATCTATTTGGAAAATATTTACTCTGCGAGACTGAAAATTTCTTACTTTACATTTTTTTCAATTTCATTTTCTTTTAATTCTCATTAAAAAAAAACAGACGGAATATTGGTATTCCAAATAAAATATATATTAAATTATAAAAAATAAAATTATAAGTATTATTATTTACAAGTACCAACTAAAAGTAATAATTTAAATATATTTCATATTATGGAAAAAATTTCATGATCAAATGTAAAAAAAAATTACGCAATCAGTGACAGACTAGTCATGAACCTCTGTTAACGGTGTTATAACTAAAATTGAACCTATAGGTTTGTGGTGAAACATTCTCACGTGAAGAACATTTAGTCATGCATTCGAGATTCCATGGTGGAACACAACCATTTGTTTGCCCTGATTGTGGTGCTGCATTCCTGCGTAAATTTGAATTGGTCAATCACGAACGACAACATGGCCGTATACCAGAATCGTGTCCTGCTTGTGGCAAAGAATTCTTGCAGAGACGTACTTTATTGGTCCACGTAAGAAACTGTGGCCTTAACTCATCAACACCAGTACATAGATCTCCTTATACCGCAACAGCGAGCAAAGCATGCCGGTACATTTATTGAATATTTATGGGGTTTGGATTCAAAGGAAAATATCTATTTTGGAAATTTGATTACACTTAAAAATACATTTTTACTTGATTCTCTTTTTTAAAACAATACTAAAAAATTAAAAAGAAGTAAAATAATTAAATAGGATTTATATATTTTCTTTAATCATATTTGTTTAATAGTGTAACGAAACTATGTTTTTCACATTTGCTGTGAAAACTCTTAGTCCTAGAAAAATTGAAAAATGACCTCCCTTAAGTATCTTCCCAGTCAAATTATCTTTCAAAAAGATTGTTATCATTATAAATTAGAGCCAAATTATAGTTAGAAAAGTTTTGCACAGAAAAAAAGGTGGCCATAATATATTTTAACTAATACCAACATTTCTTATATTTTCTCGTTTTTCCTTTAATTTTTTTTCTTATTTTTAAAATTTGATGAGAAAATTAAAAAAAAATCTCGCTAAAGTACCTTGCTAGTAAAATTTCCTTTTAGAAACATTGCTATCATTGTAAGTTGGAGCAAAATTACTGGTATGAAAATGTGCCCTGAAAAAAAAATGTTATACATTTCATACATATTTCAGTTTTTTTTTTAATATTTCCGCTTTTGATGAGAAAACTTGTGAAAATCAAAAAATGACCCCTCTAAAGTATCTTCCCACACCAAATTCCTTTCTGAAAAGGTGCTACACTTCAAAATCTGTGCAAGTCTTTTGGTAAAAAAGTTGTTTATAGATTAAAAAAAAGATAAAATAAAATAAAACAAAACAAATTAACATGTTTGTAAAACTAAAAGCTTCTTCACTCCACTCAGAATCTAAAAATAAAACCAATTTATCACAATAATTTTATACTTATTTATAATTCAATAATTTTTAATGTATACGAAATGAAAATATTTTAAATTTGTTTTTCTGAAGACAGAAAAATGTTTTATCAAACAATTATAGTATTATTAGTTTAAAACGATACATTTGCCTTGAAATCCAAACCTAATTTTTTTATATTACTTAAAATTAATTAACGGTATAAATATTGTTATAAAATGTTTACAGTGAATGTGGTGAAACATTTGCTAGCGATGAAGGTCTAGCACTTCACATGCGATTACACATTGGCGATCATAGTTTTCTGTCTGATATCTGTAGCCTAGCTGCCACTTTGAAACAAAGTGTACAAGGCGTATCAAATGGTATTGCTAATGTACAAAATCATCACCAGTCCCAACATCAAACTGGTGTTGTTGCAAATAAAAAGTCTCATTATTGTGGAGATTGTGGTCGTGGCTTCACCCAAAAACATGGCTTGCAACAACATCACGTAAAATATCCAAATGCAACATGTAAAGACAAACCATTTTCATGTCAAAAATGTGGTAAAAGTTTTATGCAAAAAAATCATCTTGTGCTGCATGAAAGACAACATATGGATCCGCCACCATCTAGAAACCGTAACGCTACCACCACGGCTGTCCAGTCAATACAACATATACAGACTGACCAGGTTGGCTTACAACCCACTCCTTTACATACGACTATTTTGGGATTACAACCTATTAGACATATTCAAAGTTCAGGTAGTCAACCCCAACTTTTAAGACATCCAAGTGAGGCCCATTCAGGGTCTTAATAACTGCATTGGTTTAAAATTTTATTTTAAAAGTCTTTAAAAACTGTTAGTTTTTTTTAAATCTTAAATTACAGTTTTTTTTTTTTTTTTTGAATATTGTGAAATTAAATTTTGAAACATACTTAATATCAGTACTAGTGATTTCATTCATAGAACAAGGTTAAAATATTTTTTGACGGCCTTAGTGTATATTATTTTATGCACAAATATAATACTTACAATTTTATTTTTGATCGAAAAATATTTTATCAGCAGAATTCCTAACGTTTTATGTCTTAACAAGTTTTTTTCCTTTAGATTTTATTTCTCGCTTGCTCTTTAAGTATACATGTAATTCAATTGTATATTATGATTTATATATTATATTTGAAAGGATAATTGTAAAAAAAAAAAAATGATTCTTTATTAAGATTAGATCTATTTATTTATAATGAAAATGTATTAATATTTAACATGAATATATTGTATGCTATCCAAAAGATTCATTAATGGTTGAATTGATATTTAATATATTCAAGTATGAGTAAAGAAATTCTCAGTTAATTATTTTGCAGAAATATTTGACCTGGAAAGAATTTCTTATTTATATTTGTTTGTGTAATTAATTTTAAAGAGTAAAATACGTCCTTGTGTTGAAAGTACAATCATGTACCAACCAATATTAAGAGTTTGTAAATGTTGTGATTTTTTTTTTCTTTAAACATACGTATATATTTTTTTCTTTTATAATAATACCTAATCAAATTATGTGTAGTAGACTTATTAGATGAAAAATTAAATTAAGTTAATATTTGATTAATTTTGCCGGATGTTATAGTGTAGTAGCATATTGAAAAGAGGTTAATTTTTATGTGTGTATTATTACCTAATAAATAATAATACACACAAATACAAGTGTAATATAATAATTTAAAAACCCCATGTTTTAATGGGTGCTACTAATATGATGTAAAAAAAAAAAAAAATACTTCTATAATTATTTTATTTTATTACTATTTGAATTTTTTTTTTTTTTTTACTTGTACCAATTAAATGTAAATATTAAATAATATAAATTATACATATATAAATATATTTATACATATGTATGGAACATACTAAAATATAGACAAATTAGCACATTTTAATATTGCTATTTTTTTTTTATTTAAATAAATATTCTGTAGGTTATATAACAAAAAAAATTGTATTACATTAAAAGACAATTTTATAAGGAAAATAACAAGTTTTAATAATAATTGATTGCCACCCGTTGTTACCAAACTACATAATATAAAATATTATTTATTCATGTAGCTTGATGTGAGTTTGGTTCCTGAAGTGTTTTTTTTTTTAATAATTACAAATGATAATAGAAATATTAAAGAATTAAATATAATATCTTATTTAATAGAAAAATGTTTAAATTTATTAAATAGATACTTAAAATTTGTCTTACCAATATAAATAAAATTATGTAGTTCACAAATAATAATATCAATTTGTTATAACTTAATACCATAAAAATTGACATTTACACAATTCATTTTGTTCAAATTTACATTTTATTTGTTTTATATGACTAAATATTAACTAAACATGATTTTTTTTGTACATATTTTCAACATTAGTTTAAAAATCATAAAATATTATAAATATAAAAACTAAGCAGAACATATTATTTGAAATAATAATCTTTGTAAATATATCAAAAGTAATAAGAACATAGTATAATATTAAGGAACAATAAATTTATAAAAAAAAAAAAAAATATATGTGGCGCTGTGTTACCAATGAATTTAACGTTTCAATTTTTCTGCAGACCTTTTAAAACATAAGTTGTACCAATGTATTAAAATTTAAAATGTATAATTATTGTAAAGTAATTAATGAATTAACAAAAATGTCTTACTTAAAACCAAATTTTGACAACAGAGACTGACTTTTTTTTCCAGTACTTTTAGATAAGCCAGTTCTCATGTAGACACGGTTACTTTGTTTTGGAGTTAAATTAGAACTGTTTGATTCCATAATATTCTGACTGCAAAATCCTTCATCAATGTCACTTTCATTATCAGTCTGTTGAAATTATAATTTGTGTTAAACAAATGTTTATAACAACAATTAAATTGTGACATCGTAACATTTCTCATGTTATATTAATAAGTCATTCAAATATATTTTTATTTTATATTAAAACTGTATGCATGACATTTAAAGTACATATATTTATGTATATTCTACAGACGTGTTTAAAGTATACACGTAAAATTGTCAAGACATAATATATACTACATATTTTATTACCTTATTATTATCATCACTTAATGGAAAGCTATTGTTTTGTGTAATAATTTTCATGTCTTTTTTGTCATGTATACCATTTATGACTATTGATACATTTTTCTCATAATTCGTCCAATTAAAAGCTTTATTAGTTGTATCAGGTAATTTTTTATTTGACTTCATGTTAATGATTTCGGCTTTATGACATTGTAATTCAATTTCATCAGCAAAATCATTAGATTTAAGAGAAGTGCTTAAATCATCATTATCATTTTCGTTTTTAGGACTGGATATTTTACGACATTTAAACGGGTTTATCCATTCTTTTTGAATAATTTCACTGCTTGTCTGTGTTTTAGGAGAAAAGTATCTACAAATAATGAATTGTTATTAAATATCTATACTGAAGTTGAATTATTTCAATCACTAACCCACTGACTATTTGTTTTTCAAAATTAAGAACAGTGCTCTTTCTTTTAGTTAATTCAGAAAATTCAGTAAATTCAGTGGGTATTTCAGATGCAAGATTGTCAAAATCTGGTGTCAAAACATTTTCATTTATTTTAGACTTATTCAACTGATGTTTATCTTTAATATCAATTTCATTTTCTAATGAAATTTCTTCATTTTTATAAATTTCATCAAGAGTATCCAAAATATCATCTTCAGTCACTAAAAACATATTTATATGAATACAATATTTTAAAAACCATTATGTTTTAATAATTACCTGGTAGACATTTTTTTATTGTAGGTGTTTCAACTACTGAGGTCTTAGTGTGAGTCTTGGTAACATTGAGTTTTTTAGAAGGAGGAGTGCTCTTTATTATTGGTTGACTCAATATGACATTATTAGGTTCATATTTATTAGGATAATAATCTTTTGACCAAATACTTTTATGATGTGCTCGAATAATTTTTTTCTTCCCAGTTTTATCAGAAGACTAAAAGTATCATACTTACTTTATATAGTAAAAATATCAAATTAATATTTAATAATAAATAGGTACACTCTTACTATGTTATAATCTGGATCCCAGTTATCCAATACTTCTAAAGATATGGGATCAATATTTCCAAGAGCAAGTTGATAAGCCTGATCATCAGTTAGTTTTGAAACAAGCACAGACAAATTAGGATCTAATATTTCATTTAATGGTATTGTTTTACGAGAACATGGGTCATAAACGGGTTGGTATAGGAACATGCGATCAGCAACCATAAATTTATCACGGTATTCAGATGGAACTTTAACATTCATAAAAGATCCTAATCTTAAAAGATTCTGAAAATGTTGGTAAATTATTGAACAAATTTGATATAATATAATTTTTTGATAAAAATTACCTTGTAAATATCAGGTTCACTTGATCTCGAAATGAATTGTCGAGCTTTTATCAATCCTACTCCATGAATAGAAGGTAAATAATCACAACCTGATAATATACACATGTAACGGAACTTATCTAAACTGAACTGCTCAGGGTTCATGTTCATTGAGAGGTAAATTTTATCTTGTTCAATTAACACACCGAACCCGTTTTGGTCCATTTTAAATAAAACCTGTAAGTAAAAAAAAAAAAAAGTAATTTCTAGTTTATTGAAAAAAGTCAACTGATAATCAATAATCAGTAATTTTACCCTTTTACAGCCAAATAGCAATAAATCTGAATCTTCTGTAATAACTATATGAGCAATGCCACTTAAATTTAAATAAGCTAATTGTGAGTCTGCTTCATATGGTGCCACAATACAATCAACATTAATCTCTCTGCACTTTTTAATGAGATTTAATGCCATTTTATGAGTAACATCAATACTACGTCTCAACAGGACTGAAGCTTCTTTACCTTTGTCTAAACGCAACAGCTCTGCTGCTTTCTTTCTGTTTTGCTCTCTTAACCTGGAAAATAATAAAAATTAAATATTAATTCTTTAAATTTTAATAGAACAATATTATTATTATATCATTACTTTCGTCTTTTTAATTCAGTATCAGCTTTAGCAGGCAAATGTTGTCCATCAAATACTAAAATTGGTTTAATATTTTTAGCTAACAACATGGACACAAATCGCATACAATAATATACATACCTAACAAAACAACAAAAAACAATAAAAATAAAAATAAAATTGAGTTTGAAATTTTGAAAAATGTGAACAGGGTAGTTGTGCAATAAGCAATAGGAAGAACCGGTGAGGTGGTATGTTATTGGAAGGGGAACATCCTCTATATCTGACCCTATACTTAACAATATTATATAAAAATGATTTAATTTAATTATTTTCAAGATCAAATTGTAACAACAAATATAGTAAAATACTATCTTTATTGGTACCTATGTTAATAATTTTTGATTTGATGTAGATTTTTTTGATTTTATAACACAAAAATTAGGTATCTTATCTAATAAAAATAGAAATTAAAAAATAATTTGGTTATTGTCAGACACAAATTGATAGTTTTCATATTATACTCATATTAGTCAGTTAAATTATTTTGGGAAAGTAAATGTGCTCAAAAAGTATAAATATAATATTTTTTAAATTGATATTTAAACACAAATTTTATTTGAATTGAAAATATTATTTTAATATTCAATCTTTTAGACTTGATTGAAAATAGTCAGAATCGTTTTTCTAATTCATTATCAATTATCACAATCCAATTCATATAAAGTAAAAACTATATAAGTATTTATAAAATCAGTTTTATATATATTTATACTTACGCTTGACAATCTTCTCCTCTTGCTAATTTTTCAGCGCATGTGTAGACACCTTTGTGTAGCCAACTATAAGCGTCTATAGCCACAGTACATCCTGAGTACTGTGATATGTTCACGGATTTCCAAGACTTTTCCAAAAGCGGTAATAACCCTTGAATACCCATGTTTCGTTTGCTCTTTCTAATTTGTACCTATATAGATTAAATAATATGTGTAGAAGCCTATTAGTATAATACAACTATAACGAACTAATAAAACATATAACATGTATAAATTATAAATTAATAATGACGTTATTTTAACAACCTATGAATACAATATAAATAAGTAAATTACTATCATGAGACATTTATTAACACGTTTAAAAAGGTCAACGTGTTTACAGATTTGATCAGTCGAATAAATGAAATAACTTTTGTATCTGTAGACTCTGTAGCTTACATTTTATCTGGAAATATCCCGCCAAATTTTAATAATAACCATTATTTTGTTTTTGAATGTGATAACCAATTCTGTGTAGAAACCACGAATTAAGATCTTCTAATTCGTGGTAGTAACCAAATTGTATATTCTTATCATTTAGTCATGGTAATAACCATGATTTAAAGTTCAGTGTTAAAAAAATTCGAATAATCATTTTAAGGTTAGTCCAAAGGACCTAAGGTGTTTTTTTTTTCAACCAAATTCTTAATCTTAATAAATCTATTTTGTTTTACAGCACATAAGTTTTTAATTAATTTTTTATCTTCGATATCATATTATTACTTAAAAATTTTTAAATTCTACTAGTTAAAATGTTATTAAACAATACCCTTCGTTTAGTTGGCCGACACCTACAACCCGTATCAAAGAAGTAAGATCTGTTATTTATGATCAAATAATTTTCATAAATACATAGGTATATATTATATGTTATTAACTAATAAGTACCTATTTATGTTTTGTTTATAGAACTCTAAGAATGTATTCTGCTGCTGCGGCACAACCATTTACCATACCTGAGCCAAATGGTTCTGTACTAACTAGCTCGCCTAAACTAGAAAAACTATACACAGAAATCACTGCCTTAACTATGGTTGAAGTAGCAGAGTTTACTGAACTCTTAAAGGTCCGTCTCAACCTAAAAGATGTTCCGATGGGAGCAATGGTTGCTGCTCCAGTTGCAGCCGGACAGGTTTGAAAAAATTGCCTATTAGGGGTTAACTTTAAAATTTTGTTACAAGTTTTAGGAATCATTATTATATCTAGTGAATAAAGCATTGTTTCCATTAGTATCCCCCAAAGTTTTGGTTGAAGTATGGCATTTGGGTCTGAGAAAAAATGTCAAAATATCAAAAAAATGTTACCTAGATTTTTTGTTTGATACCGTCATATTTTGACATATTTTTCTCGGGCTCAAAAGCCATACTACAACTATAAACTCTGTGGTATATGGTAATTGATAACAAACGACATGTAAAAAACCACAAGGGTAAAAAATTACAAGGTAAAAGTATAAAACTTATTTCAACTGAAAATTACAGATATTAATGGCCTATTGCAGGCTGTTGACCTCAATCAAATAAGTTTTGTTGTATGGCTACATGTTCCAAGGACATGCCTTGAATTTTTTTTGAGTGGTGGGTTAAACAGATATTTTTAAATATGAATAGTAATCCGAAAGCTCTTATGCAGAATTACAGAATAAACTTAAACTTCACATTATGTGAAGAATATTTAAAAAGGGAAAATGATATACCAAATTATTTAATAGCATATACTACACAAAATTTCTGATTTATTATTATTTATTTATTTATGTTTTCAATAATTAACTGAAACTAATGTTTGTGATTTTTAAGTGAAATTACGTATTTCACCTTCAGTTAGGTTAGGTCATTTTTTCCTTAATTCATGGTATACACAGAGTTATATATTTAATTTGTTATGTCTTTTACAAAACTCTAAATCTCAAATGGTATAAAATTATCCTCCATTTTTTAAATTTTTTTTTAGGAAGATGAAGAGGAAGTAGTCACTACTGTCAAAACAAGTTTTACCGTTAAACTAATGAAGTTTGATGAAAAACAAAAAGTTGCATTGATTAAAGAAGTGAAAAATGTATTGGAAGGCATGAATTTAGTACAGGTGAGTACACATCTTGATATTTCATTAAATCTAGATATTAAATTGAATTTTTATTTTTAGGCTAAGAAGTTTGTGGAAAGTGCTCCTACAGTTATAAAATCAGATATTGGTAAAGATGAAGCAGAAAAACTAAAAGAAGCATTTACTAAAGTAGGGGCTGAATGTGTAATCGACTGAGTTATGAACTTTTGTTATGTATGTATAATTAATTTTACACAATTTTAAAAGTAAATGTAAGTAGTCAACATTTATTATGTATCAATAAAATGTTATGTATGATATCAATAGAATAAATGGAATACCTGTCCTGTTCTTTTGGTTATTATACCAACAGTAAGTAGGCATTTTATAAGTTTCATAATAAAAACGTGTGAAAAATTGAATAACGATATATATTTTTTTATTGAAAAATATTTTATAAATTGTTAAATTGCATTTGAATATTGATCATCGGCATATTATATTTTATAATTTAATATTTAAGTTAGTTTTGAATTAATTTATGTGATACATAAATAATAATTATGGTAATAATACTAATTACATTTGATTGGATATAATTTTTAGAAATTCAAAAAAAAATATTTTATCTAATAAACATGGTGTATTTGATCTTATTATCTTACTACAAATTATTATCAAAATGAAAAAGATACTTGTAGTTACTGACTTGTAGTCTTACTTTTTAACTGGAAATAATAATAATATATTTTGTAGTCATCTAGTATTAAGTACATACATGAATTTCTTATAAAATAGGTTACTGAACTCGGTAAGCCAATGCTAGATTTGTGGCTTAGAGTTGAATTAAATACAAAGAGTTATAATAAATTAGCACAATATATCAAAAACAATATTTTGATTAGTATTTAGATCAGAAGTTATATAATAATAAGAAAAATAATCAAAATGAATATTAAAGTTATTGACAGAAGAGTAAACAGTAAATTCATGAATGGTACTTATAATTGGATGAATATTATGTAGTTAGAATACTATTTTATAAATATCATTTTTATAAGTAATGGAATTATGAAAATTTAATGACCTGATAAAAGGGCTAAATTAAAAATTACCATCAGTGGAAAAGAAACAGTGTATATTGTCATTTTAATAATAACATTTTACAATCCAAATATATGGACATGTAATCTAATATATTAATGCATATAGCATTCGGAATAAATAAATAGAAATAATAAAATGATAATAATTACAGTGAACAACAATAATATTAACAAAGGTAACAATAAAGTACTGAATACACAATACAGGAATTACAATTTGAACTGGGTTAGGTGTTTTAAAATTATAATAAATTGTAATTTGAGTTAATTTGATAAGCAACTGAATTACCTTGTATTAGTGAGAAATTGTATATAAAGTATTTGTATAATAATTGTCACAGTATTGGCTATATATTGCTTCTACACAATGCATTTATTTAATTTGTTTTGTTTTATATTTAGAACTGAAAACATTGAACTGGTTCTCAATTTATTAAATTGTTTAAAACATCTTATGATACAATCACAAACTATAAAGTACGAATAATTTCTTTGTTAGGTACTGTTATGTGGTTAAAACTTAGAAGTTATATAAGAAATATTATACATATCATTGACAAATTAATTATTGATAGAGGAGTTTTTAAGTTTAATATTGAAGAAAAACTGTAGTTAAGATAAACAATTGTGTCACCTTGAGCAGTAGAGTTACACAAAGTATTCTGTGCAACATTACCTAAATTATATTTAATTTATTTTTAGACTACTAGTCCAGATTGAAATGGTCAATATAGACTGTAAACATTTAGTTGATTTTCCAAAAATATTATATATTTTTTAATTGTTTTGTAAATTATTTAACATTTTCAATTTCAATCAATAAAAATGTTTGAATTAAATGCAACTTATCAGTTTAAAGTCTAATATACTTTATTTATTTTAAATATGTGCAATATTAAGTATGAAATATAAACTATAACATACATATATTTAAATTCATATTTATATATTATCTTAAAGTAATTAACGCATATAATTTTAAAGAAAATACAAAAAAAGTACAAATATAATTTTATTTGACTTAATGATAATATACTTATTAATTATAACTTAATGTACCTATAGGTGAATAACAAATAGGTATATTAAAAATTATAGTTTGTTTGCTATAAAATAATAATATTTTTGTATAATTAAGCACTAAAACATTTAGGATTAACATAAAATAAATATGTATTTACAAATAATTTAAAAATTCTTGTGAAGTATTATTATTATTATTATTATTATTGTAATCCATATAAATTTAATCAATACAATAAGATGTGAAAATCAAAATTTTAAATATTTAAAACAGCGGTATCCATGATAATAAAAAAGTATTATATTATATATCTATTGATAATTGAATGCGTTAAAAATTCACAATGTTTTTGAATATTTTTCACTTCTAGATTTACTTACTTATTGCATTGATTATAAAATATATAATCAATACTTATAGGTGCTTGTTTCTGTGAGTACAATTAATAACAATACAGTTGAGTTTATTATTTTTGCCAACCGAATTGATGAAAACATCCAAAAAAAAGTATATCTACTCGCATATTATGCTGTGCAATTTATTTTTTCGCCTTTAACTTAAATGGATCGGTGAGATTTTCGACCATCAGTGATCGAGTAGGTAGGTCATATATCAATGTATAGTTATTTTTGTAAAACATATGGAAAGAATGCAATTGAGGAGAGGCACTGCATATTTGCATATCACTGTTGGACTGTAGCTGTTCTCGATTTTTTCCAATCGTTGAATATCAGGTACACGCCTGTTCCGTACACTGCCGTATTGATGATACCAAACACCTATGATTATGGCATAAAAAATAAATCAAAATCAATATGAAATCTAATTTTTAGTAGGTACCTAGTATATACCAGCAAGGACCATCAATTTTTGGACCGGTCCGATCCAAAAAAAAAAGCCCTAGCCCTACCCGAAAATAATGTTAAATTTTTTATAAAGCCCGGACCGGCTTGATGGCATTTTTTTAAAGTCTGGTCCGATACGGTCTAAAATTTTTGTTGTAAAAAAAAGCCAGGCCCAGCCCGAAAATAATGCTACGCTTTTTAAAAAGCCTGGTCCGGTCTTATTGCATTTCTTTAAAGTCCTATCCGATCCGGTCCAAAATATAAATATAATAAAGTCCAAGCCCAATTTGACGATAATACTCTAATCTTTTAAAAAGTGTTGATTGACAAAGATGATTTTTTTCATTGCTTTATTATTAAACTTAATATTTATTATGTAATACGTATATCCTTGAATTAGATACTATATAGTCGGTAGTATATTACATATTATGATTTTTATTTTATTTAATTATGATTATTTTAATACATTTTGAAACACCAAACCAAAAAATAATAATAATCCAGATCTGGCTCATTATAAAATTCCACAACTTAAAAAAACCCGGTCCGGTCCGATGATATTTTTTGTAAGCCCGGTACGATCCAGTCCAAAATAATTTATGTTAAAAAAGCCCAACCTGGCTCTTCCTAAAATTCCATGACTAAAATATCGGTCCAGTCCGAGGACGTCTTTTTTAAGCCCGATCAGGTCCAAAAAATTGAATAAAAAAAAAGTCAAGGCTCGGCCCGGTTTTATATTTTTAAGGCCCTGGTTCGGTCCAATTTATTACAGGCCGAGCTTATAGAAGACTGAGCCTGGTCAGCCCGGCCCTTGCGGGTCTTTAGTACCTAAGCATAGTAAATTTTTGTGGAAAATAATCTGTGACACTGTTTATGATGAAACAATAAATAGTTGATGGAGAATATATATGAGGCGGCAGCTGATATACTTGGACCCAGTGACCAGTTTAATTAAAGGACAAGGAATATAATGGCTATTGGCTAGGCTATATTATGTTGAGAGGAAATTATGATGATGTCATGTTAGAGTAGCGCTAGAATGGAAGCATCAGGAGAAGAGACCTCAGTGTAGAACCAAGAAAAGATGCATTGAAGTTTATCTAAGTTATCTGAGGATAAACGTGAATGAAAATTACACCTACTTAAGTAAATTGAACTATAAAATATATCTAGTTATATTATTCAAAATTAATTTTGATAATTATTATGTTTAATTTAATTAGATACAATAGTCTAATGAATATTTGTTTCAAATAATTCTCTTATAATTTGTTATTGAAAGATAAGAGATTACGTATGATTACGTATTGTATTTATATGATCGAATATTATTCAAAATGTTCGGATGTTCCTGTTTTTTTCTTGTTAGAAAAATAAACAAATAGTGAAACGACAAAAGACATTTAATGGGAATTTGTTTACAAATCGCTTTGTGGTATAATTTGAATAATTTATAAGAGTCGTTTAAACTTTTATGAAAATTAGCATCTCAAGATATTATGGTTTATTCCCCAGCTAAGAGTTAAGAAAACCGAAAATCTTAAGGCTTTAAATTTCAACATAAAACAAATTATTTTCCGTATGACCCACCGTAGAGTGTAGACTTACCCCGGCCGCAATGTTGGAATTTTTGTATTGAGAATTGTACAGCGGTCTTGTCCAGGCTGAAAGCTGCACGATGAAGGCCACCATGTACAGGACGGTCAACAGGAGAGTGTTGCAAAATTCCTGTAAAATCGATACATTACATAGGTACGGATTTTAACGATAAATAATATTTATGATTTATTAATAACGCAGCCACGGATGATAAATTATAATAATTCGTATTATTTATCGAAATCCAGACATTGGTGATAATTAGGGCTGTGAATTTACAGAAATGCGCATTTTTTTTTAGCTGATTGTGAAACGTAGTTTTCTAAGTACATAATTTGAATTATGTAACAAAAAATTAATTTATGAAACTTTTATTTAGCATTTTTTGGACTTTTTAAGTCATATTTTTCTTTTTAGTTAATTTTCCGGTATTTTCAATCAAATTCTGTCAATGAACATCTGTATACACACATATTTGTTTGTTTTACACAGACTGTGTTAAATATATATTTTATAAAATAATATTTTACACAAGCTGTATACGGGTTAAGTAAAGACAAAATAAGTCAATATTGTAGAAATCAACTTATTCAACATTCAAATCCAATGAATATTTTTGTAATTTTTTTAAAAGAAATTGTTTTTATTAAATAAATAAATTTGTATGTATATTGTATATAATATACTATTATCAGTAATATCAAAATAATTATTACAACTAAATTAAAAACCATTTTATATTGCATTTTTTGAGATTTTAAATGCATATTTTTTTGTGCATTTTTAAGGTTTTTCACTGCATTAAATTCACAGCTCTAGTAATAATTTATTGCCGGCGACAATAAACGTCATCTACATAATATATTATAATTTTGTGACGGTTATTTTCAAAACCAGTATACGTATGACAACGAATAATTCTTTAAGCAGATTTATTTTTACCGAGAGCACCCAGTTGATAGGAAAATTGATGGCTTCCCTAATGGACAGCAGGTAGACGAATGACCAAATGGCGGTGGCGATGAAACTGATGATGACCACAAACAGAAACCAATTGGTACCCGATAACCGGGCCGGAGAGGCGAGCGCCAAACAGACAATGCCGAGTATCTGAAATGATATGAAAAAAATAATATATTTAGATATTTTTGAACAGGCCAGGCGAGTGCGTTTATTTATTTTATTGTCGGACAAGTTATTTAAATCGTATTTTAATGTTATTTCGTAGCTGCAAAAATTATTCGTGTTGTTAGATACCCTGTTTTTTTTTTTTTTTTTTATAAGTTCGATAGTCGGGACTGTGCGAACAGTCGTTATCGATATTACTGCAGGTACCTATAATATAAGTACCATAGAAAAGCTTTAACAGAAAAAAAAATCGTAGGTGGGGATACTTTTGTTCACCGCGTGTTCTCGGAATTCCTCTGCGAGCCACAGTACATTAATTGTACTATACGATAAAATGTTGATTTTTTTTTTTGGCCATTTTATCAAAATTGCACATTTATATATTATAATATTATTTGGTATACTGTAATAAAGTCGGGATTTTCAACATTGGGGATGCAATGGTTGACAGAAAATCAATAGTAATGTAACATTTTAGAGCGGTTTTTTTCTTAGATTACCTATAAAAACAATTTTTTTTTTCAATACTTTGCTAATTAACGAATTTATTTACGTTAAATGGATCACCTTATGTATTATACAGTTGGTCGATGACAGAGCGACGGCTATCTTTTAAGTAAACTTAAGACAGGTATTGTTGAATGTTATTGAATGAATTGCGTCTATACAATAATGTCCATTTTAGAATTTTTCAAAACCGCCAGGGTTACGTTGATTAATTGATATAGATTGTTACATTTTAAAAGAAAACGTTCGAAAAAATAAACTCTATTTAAAATTTTTAAATACACTTATATGCTACCTTTTCCACAAACAATTCAACCATTGACGTGGTTAGAAATTAATTAATTTTTGCATACATGGTTTAAAAAACTCATTTACAACCCCGCCGACAGTTAAAAAACCGTTGCCAACCTTCATGCGCCTCACTCCTCAGCCAGTTAGTACGCGGGAAGGGAAACGAGTATTTTCTAACCTTTTTTTTTTTTTTTTTCTATCCAAGCGCATTTCCACCTTTATATCTGTTTTCGACCCGAATGCAGTAGTAGTTCGAATATAGATTAAATGTAAATAAAAAGTGCGATCTCGGGCGTAGCGCCTGTAGTAACGCCACCTCAGTTATACAGTCGCCATATGTAGTGAAGTTGGTGACATTTTTTTTTGAATTTTCATAGTGACACGAAAAAAAAAATACAATGAACCGGCTCTCCCCTCAAAAACAAAAACCAAACGCCGGTAATATGTGGGGCTCTTTGACTATATTATGATCGTCTTTATCACGAGTGCACCTATTTAGTATATAATTCGTTATTTGCATATTGCAGGAACACTGTATTATGTCGCCGTCGTCTCGGGTGCACGTTTTATACCATTATGATATCATATTGTTGTCATACCTATGGACACGTTATTATTCCGGTCGCCCGTCGATTTTCACGTTATTATGCGTCGTTTTTTTTTTTTTTTTTTTATAGTTTTTTTCCCCTCCAAATACGTGTGCATATAGCGGTACTAACCTCGGAAAGCGGTTAGGCGTTATAGCTATGGGTATATAGTATATAGGTAACCGTTCCGCGGACGACCGGGCCCCGGCGATTGGCGAGTTTTTTTTTTAGGGGAAAAAAAATTATAAAATAATAACCCGAACAATGGCGGCGTAATGCGAAATCGCGTACTCACGGGATATAATATTATTTTATTATATTAGCTGATAATAATACCTCCTCCTTATACACCCGTGTAATAACAATATGGGTACGATAACGGCGCTTGTTTTTTGCGCGGCGTCGTACGTGCAGACATTTCCCGTCGATGAACCTACATGCTCGACCGACGAAAGTTTACTCACCTATATTTTATACCGTACGGTTTTTTTGTTTTCGGGTATACGATACAATATTATTGTATGCGAATATATTATTTTAATAATCGCAGTTGTCGGTCTACGCTCGCGATTAATCATTATTCGGATCACGCTGTATACATTATTATACGTTTCGACCGGGTCACCTAATATTTTTCTTGGCCACTACAATATAGGTAGGTATTTATGTCATCTCCATACGATTCTCTATATTATAAACGGAGCTAATATTAATGTTAATAAATGTATAGTACTTAACAGTGCTACTCAAACTTTCTCGACTCGCGGTTCTTTTTTTGAAGTGAAATTTTCTCAGAGCGCCCATGCGATTCGTTTCAATCAAAAACGTAGGCGCACGGGAACCGCTGTAGTATAAAACGAACTCCTTGATGTCCCGATAATAATTATATAAACCGAAATGCTGGAGCTAATCACATAAATCGCTGTAAACGAAAAACGACCGGAGTTCGGTTAAAGGTTTTCGTTAGGCTAGGTTAGGTTAGGTAAAAATATATTTAATACTTTTAGTGTTAAATTTTAAAGTTAATCGTTGAGATAAAAGAATCACTCTGTATACAAAATACATATTCTAGGGTGGAATATTTATACGATACAAAAATATTACGAAAAGACGTATCTTAAATTAATTTTTCCGGTGTTTTGATATGAATTCTGTTTTTTCTTATCAACTGTCGGAGAACGCTCCGGATGACCGCTGTCCCCTCTGATTTACATATTCGTTTGTCGCTCAAACTTTGTTCTCTCCTTTCGCATGGCGTGTTCGAGCCAGCCATCACTGGAGTCCATATGCAGTCAATACGACGAACAACTTTGTTATTCCCGAGTTTTTCGCTTCTGTTACGTGCGCAATTTTATGGTTCGATTTTTTTTTAAATACATAAAAGAAGCTGTGGTACGTTAAAATTATGGTGACCGCGGTACTTCGCTGCTCGACTCGCGATTGTAATTTTATTGTTTTAAAAACGTTTCCGGGCCTCGACCGCGGCGATCGTCACAACAGTTTTCGATTTTTCGGGGGGGGGAAATGCGGTAATAATATGCGTAGGTCGTTGTCGCCAATAAATTTCTCTTCGTGAGAACCGATACGAAAAACAACGTGTATATATGTATAGTTATTCTGCGGGTCTTAGGTTCGATAATAATTGCACTCAGGAAATTCGGATTTCACGAATGACGAACAACGCGTAGAGGTACCTATATTATTATTTTATTTTTTTTCGTTAACCTCGGATTAATAACAATGAGCGCGGCGATTTTCTCCGTAAACACAAACTGTTGTAATATCCGATTAAAATTAACTTAACATGTCCCTCCCCTTTGACATAATATAGCGTATTTTTTTCTCCACGCCTTCCTCACACCAATTTATCGGTTTGTTATCCGTTTTTCTATAAGAAATACATTGTTTATATCGTCAAATTCAGAGATGGGTTTTTAGTGAAAAAATGCGTTTATTTAGTTTTAGTTTATATCTGTATAAGTATTAAGTGGTAAACCATTGCTAACAAAAGACGTTTCGAAGCGAAGTTCAGTTATACGTGTTTTGAAAGGCCGTAATATTCGTCAAAATTTGTTATTAAAACTTATAAAAAAAAAAACTACACTAATTTTTTTTTTTTGGACCATTAAGTACGACCTATAATAAACCCCCCTTTAAAATTTGCAATTACATAAAAACCTCGCATAATTAAAATATCTGTATAAATAACTAAAAAATATCTGAAATGGTTTTAAAATTTGACCACGTCTAAAAAAATCAAATATAAATTTTCTTTCGACATTTCAAGTCTCTATTTACAAATGATCATAAAAAAAAAATAATAATAATAAGTACAAAATCTAAAGAAAATAATAAAAGTATTATTTTCGTAAATTTTCCCGTTTCTTTCAACGTTTTTTTTCGGTTTGGCTCAATTATAATATGGTATACAGAAACTATAGGTAAAATCGAAAAACGACTCAACGCCTAGATTAAAAATGCAACAAACAAGGTGTTTTGTTGTTTTTACCATCATTTTTCTATAGAAACAGGCCCACAAGCGGGGGTAGTTACTCGGATTTGAAAACAAACAAAAAGGTTGCATTAGTTTTCGTCGACGGTCCCGTTCGTGACTCGAAACGACTGAAATAATATATTATTGTGTTCGTAATAATTGTGTCCGGAAATGACGCGGTATTATTTTCCAAACCGTCGCGGCGATTTCGTATTTTTTCCCATCGAGTTTAGGACGGAACACGACGTGTGCGGCGGCGCTCCTTGCGGTCTCTATTATTAGCGCGTACGCCCACACGAAAGCACAGAAACCATCGCGGTCTTTTATCGCGTTGATATTATTTATCTCTCCGCGGCGTTTTGCATGTCCGATTTTTTTCTTTCCTGGCGGTATTGTATCGATTCGTTTTCCATTAAGAGCACCCGTTATACTTACCCGCATAATATGCTGTCTGAGTCCGACTACCGGGTAGCATTCAAAAACAATTCTTACGCAGAATAAGTAAAAACTAGTTTAATTTTGATTTTAGAATAAAAGTACCTATTATGAAATGTAAAGAGAACAATATTTTGGAGAGAACGTTATGGGTGTTTTTTGAATTATGAAGTATTGAAAAAATTACAGTTATTTTTTAAAAAAAAAAAAAAAGGTTCTTGTATCTATTATATCGAGCTACATATTTTGAATACTACAAAAATCCTATAAAATTCCCTTCATATTCCCTACATATTATAAGAGATAATTTTACTCTAAAATCAAAATTAAGTTAGTTTTACTTATTCTGCGTAAATATTGTTTTTGCATGTTACCCGGTAGTTGGACTGAGACAGTAGATGCGGGTGTGATGTCCTCTTAATCAGAACCGTGCGCGATAACCATAATATTTTAATAATGTTCGTCCGCCGAGGAAATCAACTCGAAAAAAATAATGATTCCGTTGGTTTACTGGTGCGTTCGATAGGTCCACTCGGGAAAAAAAAACAAATCGCTCTCCTCTCGGAAACGTTTTGAATTCGTTATATCCAAGTGGAGTACACCGCCTACCCGTATCGATTATTACGTGATGAAATTGCGTACGACGTAATAGCGAACATTTTATTATAAACAATCGCGCAGTAGTTGGTTTGTTTAAAAAATACAGATTATATCGCAATCGATAATTGATTTGTTTTTTTTCTCCGAGCGCACGTCAAACCGCGAAAAGACAAACGAGCTAACCGAACCGATACAGCGTGGATTGGTTCGGTTCGGTACGGGGACGCGACGAGATTGAAACTTGGACCGCGCTGTTAAAAATCGATATTTACGGTCGCCTAAACTCGAGGCTATTCGCTTAATTTTGGCGCGTCCGTCTTCGGCCAAATTTGGCTACTCGAGTTGTGGATGAAGACTGTAGAACTGATAAACTGAACGGTCTCGGCGCGCTCGGTCCTTGAGGTTTAATCTCAAGAGGACGCCGCACCCGTGTCCACTCTCTGGGTTCGACTGACGGGCAACGTGACGATTACAACTGCCTAAAACTCGCTTAATAGTGAGTTTTAATGCAAAATCGATTATTATAAAATTAAAAGAGAACAATTTACCAGAGGGCAAGACGATGCGTTTTTTTTTTTCATTATACCTATAATATAACGCCCGATCGTTTAGGAACAACCATTGTTTCAGTATTGTTATCGCATTTTACAATTTTGTTTGTGATTACATAATCAAAATATCAATGTACAATGCGCCATTTATGTAGGAGGTTTTTCTCTATGCAACGGAAAAAAACAAAAAAAATGTTCGGATTTGCACCACGAGAGCTTTTCCTGTAAATCACGGTTTTAAGTAAAAGCAAAAAAAAACAAACCGTGCGCAGGCCCTTCAATATACAAATGTTAAAACCGGTTGAATTACCTGTTAAGAATTGTTAATGTTGACAATTTGTAATAAACCACGAGTAGGATCATGAATGTTGAAATTTGTATACAGTAATATAAAATAATACTGTTGTTATGACGACGATCGTGTGATAAATAATTGACATTCACACTCCCTTAACACGTTCCTACGAGTCCTACAGTCGCGATGGTTTTCCGCGATCTGTATACCATGCGAGTACTTACACAGTCGCCTCCTCGTTGTGTTTCGCAACTCCACAATCGTTAAAATAAAACTATTACTACCATCTGCATACCAACAATATTCGATTTCAATAAAAACGCATACCTAATAGGTACGGCCGTGTAATGTATAAATACGTGTTGCGAACATGCCGTTGGCGGAAATCTTCGTCGGGTATATTATTATGCACCTATCTATATTTGCAAAGTGCACGCGAATGACGGCCTTAACTTTATGCAGTTATACTTATATAGTCAGGGCTCGAATTTTAAGTTCACGCATTTGCATAACCTCTGCACACTGCAATCTCGCTAAGTGGTATTTCGATTCTATATTTATTCATGTATGTATAGAAATCGTTTCAAGGTGACACGAATGATTCAGTACACGAATTTTATCACGCTCTTCCGTGTTTCGTGGCTTTCGGCATTTTCTGCGTGTCCGTGTGCTTTATCTTTTCTATTTAAGAGCATTTAACTTGATTTTTCGATTTTTTTTTAAAATTTTTAAATATTTTTTAAAATACTATTGCCAGTCGTTATATTATATGTAACAAGGTTTCCAAGAATTTCTCCCTACTGTCCAAAAACGAAAAGCTTCCCCTGCCCCATAAACAAATGTCATTTGTATTGGCATGCCAACTAATGCGATTTAAACATTTTTTAAACGATACGATGAGCAACGGGTCACGACTATAATAAACATATAACTATGTAAACAAAATATTGTATACGAAATACTATACACCACAGAATTAAATTTTGTGTAACTACTTTTTTATTTTAGAAACACATTACGTGATGTTTAAGATGTGTTATGATTGTTCAAACTTATACAATTGTTGGAACTAACGACGTTTTGAAAATTCCTACTACTTAGATTGGGTTCTACACCGCCCATTAAAATAAGTTCTGGCTAGTCATGTTATTATGTATACCAATAGCTACTGTGCCGAGTAAAGGGGAGGGGGCAGTTTCCCCGGCCTGTAATTTTTTGAAGGTGGAAACTTGAGTTTTGGAAGTTTTCTAACGAAATTATTTTAAATCGATACCTGTTTCTTCTTGTCTGGCTTTACGATTCTGTAAGAATTTTCGCTGCCATCGTCACTGCATTCCAATTTTCTCAGTTCTGGATTTTGTCTTCCCAATCTGTCACTGAAGATAATAGATTGGGAAAACCTAGATACCCAGATACCTACTAGTTGTCAATAACCGAATTTTTAATATTTCAAACTACAATTTTATTTATTACATTTTTTTCTTTATTTTCTAATATTTTATGTACAAGATGGATCAGCAATCAGCATATTGTTTGACAAATGCAATTACTTTTATACTTACCAATATTTAATTTCTTTTTTTGTTTTAATAAATATACTACATCGCTGGAAATTCAGAGTTTAATTGTTTAAAATATTTTTTAATTTTGATATTTATCAAATAGTAATCAATCAATTTTAACAGTGTTGTTTCGATAAAGTTATTTTTTTTTTTTTATGATGGGCATAATGGTTGTGAGAGCATCATTTAAAAATTTGTCTTTAGGCGACATTCGTTTACTCGTGCCGGGAAATAGGTGTTTTTTTCGAATGTCCATTTTAAATTCTGAGTGAAGTAATCATGTTGGAAAATAATTGTAGACTTGAAATAAATTTTCATCGGACATTTTGTGCTATTTTATTTTATAACATCTTTATACTATATTGACGCGATACGATTTTCAAAATATTATTCTCACGGTTTTTGCAGTATTTAATATTTGCCAGATTGTTTTTGTTTTATTTGAATACAAATATTTATTAGCGTTTTAAGTTTAAAAAAAAATTGGTTTTCGCTTGCAAAGATCTATTATCGTGCATTGCAAATGTATAAAAACTAATACGCATACTATTTTATTTATTTATTCAGGCAAATCAGTTACAATTTATTATTTACAGCGAATTAAATTAATAATAATACCTGATAACTGAGTTATAGCCCATATCTGGTATACAGAGTTCATGAATATTATTCAATATTTAATTATTATTGGTATAGTAGATATTTATATAATTAGTATTAAAATCCCACATACCTTTCCAAACTTCCCACACTTATATGACCCAGCCATGGGTGCCATTGGCGAAAATTGTGGGAGGGGGCTTGAGGGGTCTAAGCCGCTCAAAACGTATAAACTATGATACTAGTCCCGTTCGAATCGCCATTATAATTACTGTATACTTTTGACAGGGCTTAGACCCCTCAAGCCTCCCATAATTTCCGCCAACAAGCGGTGCGAATATTATTCAGCACTTTTATACGAGAATACGGTGAAAAAGAAATTAGGTTTTTTTTTTTGTTTGTTTTAACCATCGAATCACTTTTAAAACGGCCGAAAAGTCATAAACTACGGCTCTATGCCGGTATAATAATATTTATTATCGTGTCGGCGGATTATCGCAGAAGACGATTGATATTAATAATTGTGTGTTATTGTGCATTTTGCGTTCGTACCGCGAAGTGCGCGGTAAGAAAAGTAGAGCCGACTCGAGGGAATGTGCATCGAATAATATGCCTCCGGAACAACGGTACCTACCTACCTATAAATACCTTCTATTTCATAAATTAATCGTTCCGGACGTGTCTGAACGGTTAAAACGGCACACATTATTATACAGTAGCCGTTTCTCGTTGCAGCTGAAACAAACCGCGTGCCCGCGAGAATACTAATCGAACGCAGTCGAACCGATTTGGCCGGTAAAATAGTCACGTCGTTAATCAAAATAGGAACGCGCATAAAACGTACCTAAAGCAGGCATAATAAGCTGCACGGAATCGAGACCGAGTCCTATAAAATAAAACGTATACCTAGATTTTTTCTTCTTTTTTTTTTTTTATAAATATTTGTATTATAATAAACTAATAAAAATTAACGTCTATAATTCAAATCAAGCGTTATAATAACAATATACAATCGTTATTGTGTTTTATAGATATTTTTGCAAAAAAAAAATAAAAAATACCCGTTAAACAGGTACAAAAATTCGAAAGATACGATAGTAGTGTTAATTCGTATGTTCTATGGCGCAGCAAAACTCCGCATGAAATCAAAAAATTTGGCCTCTCTGAGTTGGCCGCTCAACAGCAATTTTTGGGTTTCGTGGGGCGTTTTGCTGCGTCATAAAACATACAAATTAACACTACTTACGATACAGCCGATTGGGTTATAAAGTATATTATTATTCGGAACCGTCAAAGGGGGAGGAGGGAAGTATTCGGATCCAATCCAAAGTGGATCGAAAATCATATGTTTATGAACATCGTATGTCTTTTTAAAACATTTATAACCGAACTTTTCGGTTTTAGCTTCTAACATCATTACTTAACTCTCAAATGAAGCCGTAAGGATGACATTTTGTATAATATATTACACATGACGACAGTTATGCAACTCTAATATAAATTCAACTCTAATGACGGAACTCTGCTGCTCACGTATTTTATTTGTATTTTTATTCATTCACAAATGTCTTACTCGACCGAATTATGTATACATAAATTATATTATACGATGACGAAAGACACTTTGTCCGGAAATTTCTTGTCCCGATACCGTTTTTATGCTGCGGATGGGGTTAATGCACCGCGACGACAAGATCCGTGTAAATCCGCCGCGTGACTTTCCACATAAATGACGTTAAAATAATATCATCACGGTGCGGCGAGCGAGTCGAATACCCGTGACAAGTCTACACGGAAAAATATACGATATACATAGGTATGCGTATTTTACACACAATAAAAACAATCGTTTTTCAGATGAAAAACCGAAACGTCCGAACCCAAAGCGGCAAAGACCGTTCTCGTTCGATTTCTGATATTGTATACGAGTATATAAGAGGTCCGTTGGCGATCAGTAAGGTTCAGGAATTATTTTAAAAACGTTTTCCTACTGTTCAAAACCCAAGAGTTTTCCAGCATCAGTGGCGGCTCTAGGATTTGATTTTGAGAGGAGGCCATCATAAACATAATACAATTATTTACTTATTTATTTATTTATTTTTTTTTTTTTTTGAGTATACATATTAATATAATGATAAGTATTATACACCTGTAATATCTGTGATATCCGAAATATATTCAAATGTTTCAAAAATAATAGTGCAATAGGTAATACCACTTCAGTTTTATTAAGTACTTCATTACGATTATATCGATAATATAATATTATAATATTACATGCTGTAATAATAAAAGCTTGAATATTATACTCAATTACATAATAGATATTTATTTTATATACTATTTTATTTTGATTTTTTTTTTTTGGAATTTGGCCATATATTGACCTTTTTAAAATATATTTTCAGGCTGTTTATAGGTATTTGGTAATTTCGTGTTTTTGTGTATTTTTGTTTGGTAGGTATCTATTATAAAAATTATATGACTAACAGGAATTGTTAATAACTTATAATGATAAGTCGTTATTAGTGATCTAAAATACAAATTTGAGTTTAATGCATTAGTTTTTTTTTTCATAAGCATTTTAAGATGAAATTTTAACGAAAATCGTAAAAATTATGGCATTTATCATTTTATGTATTCTACCTTTCCAACTTTCCACTTACAACAGTAGCTGCTCTATCAATCCCAGTATCAGCTCTTTTTTTTTATATTGTAATTATTAAAAATAATATTAAATATCATAACTAGGAGGGGTGTGAGACCCCATCCCTTCATATTTTCCAGAAGTTATCCACGATCTTTTCATTTAAAATGAACGCCACTTAATTACTCCGTTATAAAAAGAAGAAAAAATATCGGTCGACGACTCGGCGGTTAATTGAAAATCTTTACCGGTGTAGTAAAACTAGAATTATTTAATAGGTTCAACCACTGCAGATACTTTCCGCGTTTTTTTGACGATGGACATTCTTTCCTATCTACTTTTATACTTCTGCGTAAACACCGAGGTATTACCACCGATACAAATAATAAAAAACAAACGATTTATGTCCGCGCACAAACCACGTACCTACCTATACGTATTTATCGTGTTCGTAAACGAGTAAGTAGTTTGACTTCAAAGCTTCTGTGGATTTTTTTCTTGTTCCGATCGTCTGCAATTCTATATAATAACGGTGCCACACCGTAATGATTAATATTTTTTTAGAATCGCGGTGACTATAAAAACGGCGAGCGGACTACGTATTCCATATGGGAATGCGGTTTAAAAAAAAAAATATCATCCACTTAGGTATTACTGCAGATGATGTTAAATGAAGTAATAACAATAATAATTGTCAAGTGATTTGTTAGATAATTTATTTAGCTTAGCCAGAAAGCTCGAAAATTTGTTACAATGTTTATCATATAATTGTTAACTATTCTTACCGATCAAAAGAATAACAAAATGTTTATACCGTTATGTCACAATTTTATTGTTTGTACGTAAATAATATATAATAATATTGAGTATTTGGAGTAATAATTTTGACAAAAATCATGGACAACTGTTTTGTGTAGTTTAAAATTAAGAAAATGTTCGGTTTAAATTTATCAAACAATTTTATTCATTGCACATTTTTATGAATCTTAATTATAGAAAACTTACGAATCCCTGGTATGATATTTTCGTATTCGGTCGTTAAACCGAGAAAATTCATCTAATAGGTTGTTTTTTGCTATTGGTTTTTGATTTAGATTATTATAATTCTTTAGCTTAGGGAGTATGGTTAATGGGGGAGAGAGGGCTGGGTACATTACAGAGTGTACAATAAGAGCCATATTTGATTTTTAAAAATTGATATTTCTCTTGTCTAAACGACAAATTTCTATGGGACGTTACGGATTCCTCTTCTCTACTTGTTTAAATAGAGTACAGCAATACTGTTGATAATGTAAAGCTGCAATTAGTTTCGGGTTTTGATTATTTTTGAATGAAGAAACCATTGAAGTCATTTTTATGTTGTATATTTTCTTATGATTTTTAAAAAAAATTATTTTACAATTTTCGTTTAGAAACTTATTTTTTCACGGTACGCTTGTTTGAATAAGACATAGTTGAATGAATAATTGATGACTCGACAGTATGTTTCAGTCGGAAACCGCTCCTATAAGGAAAAATGGGGGGACGTCAACTTACGACATCGCTGCAAATATAAACAGTTTGCGAGGATACAATAAACCTATTTAATATATTATGTAGATGTTTATGTAATTTTGTTTTTTTATCGGAGTTTGTTTTTTTCTATACAATGAACTTCAAAATCGATTTACACGTCAAAAAGTGAGCAATAGGTAGACAGAAATATTTATATAAGAACTCATAGTATACCGGATTTATACCTCTACTCCATAATTTAGCACCCTGTACATATTTTTCAATTCTATCAAAATTATTCTTCAGACTTGGAATTTGTTTTAACTCGTGTATTCTGCTCACGTGTAACACAAATCACGGTTTCATTTTTTAAACGGAAACTGCTATTTTGAATATTATATTCGGGATTGATCTGATCGATCATTTTAACGTATCAACTTGTATTTTAAATCGAAAACTAACTGGATGAGTGCCGTTTCAGTATTAATTACCAATACAAAAATAGATTTTTAAGTTTTCACAAACCGAAAAAATACTAATTGTATAGTATTTTGGATTTAGAATACAAATAGATATAACGAATACATCGAAACGGCTTGAAAAAAATCGACCAATCCGAATATTAAAAATAGGGATTTATAAATAGTTAAAGAAATTGAATTATTGTGTAATACACAGCCACGGGTTATATAAATTATAAGTCATAGGAAATGATGCATCAGTATGTGTAGTATCTTGTTTCATGCGGTACAAACGAAATTCAATAATATATTATGTTACATTGTACAGAGTGTAACTGTTTCCGTGGTAGGTTACGCGGTATAAAAATTGAAAAATATTACGACCGTGTTAAAAAGGGTAAATTGCGTATTCCGTTTTTCGTAAATTTGTCATAGGTATGGACGGCGGCGTATCTAGGGGGAGAGTTAAGGGGTTTTCTCCATTCAACTGGCCGTGTCAAGTACAAAAAAAAAAAATACAAAATATTCGGCATTGAAAAGTTAATTGTTCATAAAATATTTAATACAATTGCATAATAGCATTAAATATTCAACTAAGTACAAATAATTGTACTGAACAATGATGTATTTTGCATTGAAAAATCCTGTCTACGAGTACGCTATAGTAAAATATATACGCGCGAAAATTAGTTCGAATTGGATTTGTGCGTTTTCGAGAAATACCCTGTAATCGAAATGCGGTGGTTTGTACAAACATTTTCTTTCGAACGGTAAAATGGAAGCTTTCAAAATGTGAATTTGCTCGACGTCCGGCGGCGGCGGCGGCGTCAATGCCGTCGATTCCAAATTATAGGGGCAGGTGGACCTTGATGCCAGGAGTATAATGTAACGCATAATTTCGGTACTTGTTAAGTCTATCCGCGGAATAAATTATTAATATCGGTCATGACGTCGAATCGATACGTCGCTTCTAAAATTGGTCGACGGGCTTGTATAAGTAACGCACGCCCCCTTTTACACATATATGACATAATAATACTGTTAGAATAATGACGTTTTTTTTTTTTTTCTTTTGTACATATTTAGTAGGTTTAGCCCACTTGTATACGGCGAACGATATAACTAATCGTGAACGTGTACAATAAAATATATCTCAATCGTGAAATATTATTGTATTTTGTTCGTGACGACTGTGAGCTCATATATTTTAGCGTCAATAACAAAACGTGAAATTATTCGGATGCGGACGGGCGGTGCACTTGAAAATGTCAAAAGTACCGCGACAATATTAACGTTATATAATAATATCTTGATAATCATATTGATTCGAATAATTGCGTTAAAAAAAACAAAACAATATATAGGTACTCCCGTAGATATAAACCGCGAAAAAATACTAGGCATATTATGTTTCGCACCGCGGGTAGACAGCTGATTTAAGTGGGGAGATATTGGACAGAATATTATAACAAGAGTGGTTCCGATAAATCAGTGTACCGCTGTATCGAATAACGATTTTGCAGACCTGAGTTCAATCTGCAGAGATTCTATCGATCATTTTTGTTGTTGGTAGGCATGTGACAGCGCGAGGTTACCGGAAATCGATAAACAAAAAGTAAAAAAAAAATGATGAAGATAAACGAGTGTATACGTACGTTTTATTGGGTTGGTGCGGTTTTTTTTTTTTTTAGTTTTCGAGCATTTATATAAAGTACGTCTTATACTAAATCGAAAATGTATATTTTCCTAGACGACAAAAAAAAAAAAAAAACACATTGGTAAAACTACTGTTATGTATAGTTTATTATGTTATTCGAAATCAGTAAAAGGCATTATATACAATGATAAAATGTACAATTACAACAATTATTTATGTATATATGAACATTTTCGCGCGTTGGCGAAGCGATATATGTAAGGTAATCTAAAATAAAATAATATTTTATTATTATTTTTTTTTTTTTTTTTAGTATAGTATATTATATTCGTAGCAGTAAATCGAATTATTGGGCAATATCGTCGACCCCCATGGTACTGTTATTCTCGTGCCGCTAAACCGTTATCAGCCCCGCATGTAGATAATACTAGGTGAGTATACACGCGCGATTAAAAATTGTTGGCGTTTCGGTATTGCAGCACCGAGGTAAACGTGTCGTTCGTGGCCGAAAGACAAATAATAATAGTATACGTCATAATATATGAACGATTAACGAATAGAAAAAGTTCAAAAATACAACTATCAAGGATCTAGGCGTATTGATTGATGAAGATTGGGAACACTAAATTGAAATTAAATGCAAGATTGAAAAATTCAGGATCGCATTCCGTAAAATGTATACAGTTTTCAAACATCACGATTTTTCACTAAATTTACTGAAATTGCGCTGCTAAGATGTTACATTTTTCCTATACCTATATGTTTCTTATTATTTGGAGCTGAAACTTTGACGACGAAAGAAATATCAAGCAGGAAAATCGAGTCTTATTAAGAAATAGGACAAATGTGTGTCCAAATTAAATTTCCTTCCTTCGAAGAATTCGAAGGGGAAACGAATTACTGATAGCTCTAAAATCTCTGTAAGTACAGAATATCTGGAACACAACACACAATGGGAGATAATCAAGTTCAGATACAGATTATTGCATCTTATACTGCAAAAGAAGAAGAATATCATAAGTGAAAACTTTCTGCAATGTCCAACATCCGTAATTCTAAGAAGATGAGCGAATATGACTACAGCAGATACATTTTTTTCTTTTATTTTTTTTTGTGTGTTAATGTTTAAAATTCATTATTTTTAGATTTTATGTCGTCGAGTATATTTTTTATACGTTTTTAAAACGTTGTATTTGTTGGCACTTTAAATATTTTTCATCTGTTATAATATATACGTACGGCGCATTATACGCTCTACGTTATTTAATATGTTTACAGTGCATTTTAAACTCCGAAAATCAGGATAGAAACGTTTACGTTTAAAAGTATATTAGTTCATTTCCATGGTGTTTATGACGACGAAACACGTACCTAACGCAAAACGCGGGCAAGCGATTTCGCATAACGTTCTTGTAACTCCCAGACATCTTAAAAAGGGAGCCTATATCACACGTTTTGTATGCTCATATACTATAGGATATCGTAATTTTTATAATTTTTACTCTCGTCTTCATGTAGGAACTTAAATTATAAGGTATATGTATTATGGTGTATACGTCACCTGCTATCGCGAAATCGTTCGTTGAGAGCCTGCAGTGTAATAATAACGAACTCTCTTTCCGTCGTCCTATACGTTGTCATATATAGGATTTCCAATAATATATTATATCTTTGACAATATTCAATTTTTTTTTTTTAATCCGATTTTCTGTGAGAGGGACTTATATTTACAGAAAAATTACATTTGTATTCTATCCCTTAATCACTGGAAAAAAAAACTTGTTATTCGTTCAAACAATTTTCGAATTAGCATGCATTTTGTAATAGATATATTATTCTAGACATTTTAATTTGACATACATATCCGATGGATATTTTCTGAGTAATAGCCGTTTCAGTTTCTAGATATTCAATTCTAGAAGTTCGACTACGTGATTAGTTACGGGACGAGGTATCACAATCGCAGCACTATAATACGAGCAGCTTAAAATTTGTAAACTCCTTGGAAATTAAACCGGCTATTTCTAAAACGTGTATTGATTGGCTATTTATTAGATATCTTTGTTTTAATTTGAATATAAACCGAGACACTATTGGGGAAACACGGTGGTACACCGTGTAAAATAACATAGGATCCGACCCTCGGAAATAATCAAATGCCGTATGTCTGTAGCATAATAATTTATCTTATAATTGTCATAATTTTTTTTTTTTATTGCGATCATTCTAATAATTAATATCACCATTGCACTCGACGGCGGCGGTAACATGGCAATGTCATCTGGCCGAAATTGGTACAATTCATTACGACGACGACGTCGTTTTTAAACGGAGTTCGTCTTGTAACCTACGTACCTAACCTCTAATTTTGTAGCGTTACATTAAATTATTATGATATGCCAAATACTGTCGACGTTCGTTTAAAGGAAACGGAACAAATACTGCAAGGATGACGGGTGCGCGTAGGAGTTCAACTCGAAAAAAAAAAAAACCCGTTGCAACGGACGTGCAATATATTATAACGTACGCGATGTTATTATTATTATACCGTATCGTCCTACTTTATCCGTTCAGAGTGTCCAGATACTTAATATTCTTGCAATATCGTATCATTATTATTATCATTATCATTGTTGTTTTTGTTGTGTTGGCCTCACACATTTAAGGAAGATCGTTTTCAGGGACTAATAATATATAAACACAGAGTGATTCCGGCATATGATTAGGTATATATACACGTATATTATATATATACCTAATGGTGATTCCCAACGTAGGTGTTATAGATAGTCCCCTTGTGGCAATTTCGTAACTTGAGTGGGACGTTTAACTTTATAGAAAACACCAGGGGGGGCGGGCGATCGTTCGGTTACCTTTATTTTATGGCTTATGACTTGCAAATAGTTTTAAAAAGGCGGAGACACTTCGCACCACGTGTAGGGATATTGTAGTAGATGAGGAGTTTGAATGGTATATAAAGTATAGGGTAATTTAGTTCATGTATTAAAAACAACGATATAGTATTGTGACCAAAAACTGAGTCTGAATGGAATAATATTACTTATTGTAGTCGTGTTTATTATCGTATTGTAGAGAACGTAATCTAGAAATCAACAAAAATAATACTTGGACGTATGTATCGACATGTGACATTCTTTTTAAATTGCATATAGAAAAACTGTTGTGAATCTCGAAATTCGTTTCAAATAATTTTGTCTCTTTTTTGTAGATTCTTACGACATGAATTTGGAACATTTTTACTAAAAAAAAGTATTTTATTAGTAAAGTATCATCGGGCAGAAATTCCGCGTCTTTTGAGGTATGGCGTCAAAAATTGGAACATTTTTACTAACAATAAAGCGTTTTTTAATAAAAAAAAAAAACCAGTAAAACTAATAAATATTCTTGGCTAAACTTAGAATCACATATTAAACAGACTCATTACATTCGGTTAATAGTCTCGGATTTTGGTTACAACGCGTGACGATTTTCGAGGTAAAATTTCCTCATATGTGAATGGGTTGCCCCCCTCACGGCCAAAAAAGTATTTTCTGAGCAGAAAAAACTCATTGTCTTACTGTATATCTTATTGTAAAACTATTAACTTCTCCGTTACACTCAGGATCTAATAGATCAATTCTCGCATTCAAAGTCCAAATTACGTGTTATTGAACAGATCAACGTTGCTATTATAAAAATAAACCTTTCAAATAGATTATATGGGTATCTAGTCGTTGTAATAGTATAACATTAATATTCTATATTATTTGAAAATCGAGCGTGCGTATAGTAGGTACCTAAATATGTGTAATAATAATGCGCGCCGAAAAAGACACACGAGTGTGCATTTGTGCGTTTACACAAGTGTTTATAATAATATAACGCATAAACTATATTTTTTTATTCTCGGGGGGGGGGGGTTAAATACATAATATTATGCGAGCATGTCCGTTTGAGTTTCAAAAAAAAATCAAGTCTGTTCAAACGATCGTCCTGTATAATATATACGAGTATACGAAACGCGTATCGTTTTTGTATAATATAATACGTTAGACGAGCTTCAGTATTATAAATTATAATAAGTATAGTACCGTATATATAGGTGAACTCTTATTTTTATTTTTTTCTTATTCTTTCGCGTGGGTTACCCGGTAGTGTGTCACAATAGTTTTTTTTTTTTTTTTTTTTCAACGCGCTCATAGACTCGTAATAACGTATATAGGTATCATGCGTTATCCCCAGACTCGTAATAACTCGTAATATATATTTATTTTTTATATTATTTTTTTAAAATTATTTCATACATTCCGTATACGAATATATCGTTGTAATAATACTAAGCCGTTCGGGTTTTCGAACGATGATGGCCTGGAGCTTATGAATTATTATTAACGTTATAATTTCGTGTCGTATATAGATACTTGTATGAAGTAAAGTTGTGTCACGTTTCTAATAATAATATACGTATGCGAAGTCTTTGGAATCCATGTACGGCGTTAAATAACTGGTAATAATATCGCTCAAAGTCGCTTGACGACAAACGAATCGGACGGCCGTAAATTATATTTATAAAACAAAAAAATCAAATAAACAACTCATCATGACTTCGTGAGACGACAACTACCTACCTGTATCCTCTATTATATAGGTACAGACCTAAACGTCAAATATTTTTTTGTTAGCGTGGGCGCAACTGGGGGGTAAGCAGGGTGGATTAAGCCCGGCCAGTTTTGTCCGTAGTCCACCCAAGTTATTGAAACGAAAATTTGTTTTTTAACAACAATTATTCGTTTCCTAAATTATGATTAATACGTAAAAAGTGAATGAATTTTACTATCATCTTATCATAATATTATTACAGTATTTGCGATGGTAAATCCAAAACGTCCAACAACAATTTTTTTAGTGGGAAGGAGGGCGCTATTATCATAAAAATAAAGTTCTAGTTGCGCATATTATGCATGTTAGGTATCTACTGTTTTTATTTTTATTTTTTTTGATCTTTTATTGTTTACTTAAACTGCAATTCAAGTTATAAGTATAACGTATACTATTAATATTGCAGTAAGTATTAGTATCGTTATTGCGATTTTTATTATAATAATTATTTTTTTTACAGAAGCCAGCTACTAAAAATAAAACATCTCATATTCTTCATATGCGTTTTTTTCGAACATTTTAACGAATTAGTATATGTATTGCAAGAGTATTATTGTTTAATCAGCAAATTCGATACCGCAGGGATTGAATAAAAAAATTAGTTCATAGTTTCCCGTCATTTAAAATTGCAGACATATTTATTAAACAGCTAAATAATATTCACAAAACATTTGGGCATACATATTTTTAGAATGCTCGGTACATTATATTTTTTTTTTTATAACTGTGGATACGCCGTAGTAACTATATAGGTTTTTCGTATAACGGAAAATCATATCGGGATTAAAAAAAAAAAAAAAATAGTAAAATTATTATTTATTAAAAAATACAGCCCTGCTGATGTTTTTACAGACCGTGTCCGAATTCGGCCCAAGCCGAAACGTAGCCGAATGAGTTTTAGGAGTTTTACCAATCATAACCTACTTATATTGGTCCAAGCCTGATATACTGTTCCATGGAAGTTATAGTATCCTATGTGTAAACCAAAAACTCGCTGCCTAATCAACAAAAACCTACAACAGGTTTATGGATAAAGCCGAGGGGAAATGGAAAACATAACATATAATAATATGTTCGTTCAAATTTCACACGTTCCCAAATCTCTACACGTTTTTATAACCGATTCGGTGCCAATTTTGGCCTAAAACAATATTAGTAGAATATTGTATTCCGAGCGAATTTCTATGAGATTTATTATATTTCACGCGAAAATCGGTGCCAAATAAGGGTCGTCATAAACTTGCAGAGATTTATGATGAAATAGAAGATATTACTCGTAATTATTGTTATATTATTTTTGGATACTTATTATAACGATTCTTTATTATACGTGTGACCGTATATACCGATAAAAAAAACGTGTTATTACCGTATACAAAAAAAAATATCATAAAGTACAAAAAATTACTCAAACAAATCGCTAAACAATAATTGTAAATTAAATACACGTTTATATTTCTATTAAATTGTCGTCGGTTAGGTATGTGAACACGAAAAAATACTATTGTATATTATAGCCTTGTGATGATGGAAGTGACTTCCATAAGGTGCGCCAAGAATACAACGTTTAAACCTATTTCGATGAGATCCACGACGGTGGGGATTGGCTATGATAATGTGGGCTAATGTGTTATTTTTTTTATTTTGAGTTTTGCGCGTGCGCGCTGAAATACAATAATTATTTTATATTTAAAAAATAAGAAAACTGCCAATTATTTAATTCGGTGATGTAATAATATTACATACTCTTCGCAATATGATGTTTATAGTCGTAAAAAACTGTTAATACAATGTACATCGTCCACAAATGCACTCGCTTAAATCCCATAAAATCATATATTTTTTTTTGATCGAAATATAGTTTTATACTTATCCGTCGGGATTCGCAGCCCGAATGTATGAAGTCGACAATTTATCTAACCGTATTTTGTTAAAAATTAAATAACACCGAATTGTTTAGTAATAAATAATAATAATATAATTGAATGTAAATTATGTAGTAATTTTATATTTTTTATAAACATTTTAAGAATAAATTTTAATGAAAATCGTAAAAATGATGACATTTCAGAATATGTATACCTAACCGAATTTCGCTCAGTATCGTTTATCGTTGCGTACAGATGTAAATTAAATAACTTAGTGTATCCTACCGTCCCAACTACCCACCTACAATAGTGGGTACGCCCATTAGCAGTATCATCTTTTTGTTTACATTTACTTCGCATTTTATTCGTCTATAAAGTTATGTAAATTGGTTACTCGTATTTATATTCCCGAATACGCTAATTTTAAGTCTTCCGGTGAATTGCATCGTGAATCATTATTGTGGGTGTATTAAAAAAAAAAAAAAAACCTAATCATATTTAGTACATACTATATAGGTAAGTACATTTATTAGGTATTATCTTCGGAGTCGGAATTGGATATTTAAATTTAATAATACAATTGCACTTGATTGTTTTCGGTTCAGTTTTTTTTAATTTTCTCCAAAGATATTATATTCTATTATTCGGCCGGTTGGTTCGAAGTTCGACCACAAAATTAACTTGAAATTCCATAGCAGCAGCGGTCAACTACGTCGTATAGGTACACCGTAGAGTTTATATTATTATTATTATTATTATAGTTGACTGGAACTACGTCATTTTACTGCAGACTGAAGTATATATAATTAGGTGGAATTGTTATTTTTATTTTTTTTTTTTTTTTTGTATACCTACTTGTTAGCTGTTATAGTGTCTAAGCGATTTCCATAAAAACGTACAATATATGAAAGCAACACGGAGATAGACGCCCATACAGCGTTCTGCCGCGGAATATCCAAAGACGAAACTCGCAATGGAATGCTATTTCATCCGTTTCAATTGTACCTTTGCCTACCTATGACCTGTATATAATACCTAACTATATTAAAATTGTATTTCATTTGGACTGTTAGAAGAGAAACAAACATTAATAATTGTAGATACTGTTGAAATTACACACGCTGAGACATGGTAACGGATTAATAATTGGAGGAATGACGGAGGGATCACGATGAAGAAGACCATGAATGTTACGGGAGTTCCTTCTTACAAAGAGCTCAGGACAGGATCAAAGATGGATAGCACGGGAATATGGAGAAATCATCTGCTGTGAATAAATGTGTTATAAACCAATCTTCGGATCAAAAGAAAAAAAAAGAAACATTTTGTTAATTTTTTTTTTTTTTAATAGTACATTTTCTTTCGGTCGTTTTACGCGTGTTGGTTCAGGTGCGTATATAGGTATTATTATAACTGTAATTATAATATGACATCTCAAAAAACTTACCAATTGAGCCAATTTCAATATTCCTGGCAAGGTCTTGAAGTACTTGTAATTGATTTCCACCCAAGAGAAAACGTTGTTAATGTTTCCGTTTTCCACTCCAGGTTTTCCGGCCGGTTTGGGCTCAGCAGTGGGATTTTGAACGGTGACCACGGTTTCCGTCATGATAATTTTCACGGTAGATAGTCGTCGAGTTAGATTATTAATATACGTTTACCTATATTGTGTACAATTAATACGAGTATACGAATTTAATAATTTTGTACTTTATGACACGACACGTGAAAACTTTTAAAAATCAACCTACTGTTTTTTGTTTTTTTTTTTTTTTTTTTTGTGAACGATATTAAAGTGTTACCCGTCGTCGCTATAGTGTCAAGACTGGAATCTAACTGTTCGGGCGATAAGGTTCACACGCGGAACTCCGGTCAGCTTATAGCGCGGCGGTTAGAGAGGGAGGCGCAATCGTATACAATAATAAATAATAATGTATACGACCAAGAAGAAGTGATCACCGTCACTTTAAATTTCCTTTCAAATATATTATAATTCATTCGGTTTGTGCTGCGGCGTTGATTTTCCATATTTGTTTTCGTTCAGTTATTGTTTTTACCTATACATACATACAGGCATACATATTATTATATGCGGTAAGCACACACAAATATAACATGTCTTCACGTCTAAGGCTTTCTTCGAGAAATATGTCTACCTACAACAATATAACATTATTATTATCAACAGGTGGGAAAATGTATTTCACGGTTAGCGGGTACACTGTACGGCTGCAATACGAATTAATAATTGTATATGAGTTAATAATACTGATTTAACATAAATAATAATTTGAAACACACTATCTAGGTATAATATTTTACTATACCTATACGAAGCTGGTAATATTCATAATAATATTGTGTGGCGTAAGTGTATCCATCATCGTACAAAATAATGTTATAATTGTTAATTATTGTGTTTATGCGAAGTAAATAATTACGTATAGGTATATTCGATAATATTATACTGACGATTGTTTCCACATTTTTTTCGTGTGCGTGTCGAATTTTTAAATAGCTACAAAATAATGTGATTTTGTAGATAAAGTTATAACTTTATATCTCCAAGTATATAATATATATTATACTTTGAGATTGTTTTAAACTTGAAGATTTTTGATAATAGATAGGTATTATATTTTGAGCGGAGCGCGAGGAGTCTATTAGTTTTACTATAGTTTTACTAGTTTTACGGTTATTAATTTTTTTTTCTCTCTAATATAAACAACTTTTCTACCAGAAATCTTAATTGGAACAAGTTTCTGCGCCATTAACGATTTCATAATTTTAAATTTGTTCGATTATTGTTTGGTGACAACGAAAGAGAACAATCGTTTTTAGAATACTTCGAAAATACTTATATTTATGATAAACCAGCTATAAGACTAAGTGGACGTACTAAACCTCAATGACACCCTCTCCTATTGGCTATTTCCAATTGACATGCGGTCCGGTAGCTTCAATAATGGTGCAAATTTGCCAAGAACAACAAATATTGCTGAAACATGGTACAGTCTACCTAATAGGTATGAGCAATGGCGTATTTTCGGGGGGGTTCCAGGGTCTCATATCTCTACTAGAAGAAAAAAATATGGTTCAAAAGTCATAAATGGCTTGCTGCAAAGGTATAAAGAAAGAGAACATTAATTTATATTGGGTGATTTTTTTTTATCATGAACCAGTAGCAGCTATCTCGGAATTTTAAGTGAATTTAATTTCTATTTTTTTTAATATTTATAGAATCGTTTCAGCTTTATTTTAAAACCATTTTTAATTGTTACCCTCACTTCATATATCTTAAATAAGAACTTTAGGAACCCCTCTTTTTTAAATACAGATTCGAATAGAGTATATTTTTTAATATTTAAAGTTATCAATTTTATTATTAATATTTAGAGTTATCAATTATCATTTAAGAGCAGGTATACAATTTATAGAGTAGAGGTAAAAAAATTAAATATGATTTTAAAATAAAGCTTGAACAATTGTACAAAGATTAAAAAAATATATAAATCAAATTCATTTAAAATCTTACTAGATAATTACTGATTCATTATAAAAAAATCACTCTTTTTCTAGAAAAATTTTAAATCCCCCTCCCCACAAAAAATTTGAAAATACGCTACTAGGTTTAAGAACAATAATATCAATAACCATAACATTAATAAGCTAAAAAAATTATTGAAAAATATTCACTGATTAATATCCAAACAACCAGGAGTTTACAAATTGATAAAACAGTGCCAAAAAATTCAGATTGAAACTGGAAACTCGATAGATCAAATCATTCAAGGCCAAACAAATAAGAAAAGAAAACAAACAACGAAGAATGGGAACAAAGAATTAAAAATTCAGACTTTAATATTATTGAGTTTCTACGAGGAATATACAATTTAAGTTTTTTTTTTTTTTTAGCATTATTAACGACTTATTTATTTTACGACCTTTTAGTATTTTTATTAATAAATTTATATTTTTCACAGACACGATCGAATTAACGAATAATGCATATTATGGTATAATTCATGTTGTTTTCGTTTTTCGATAATTTCGAACATATCTATTCGAATATAATCTTTCGAACAGACCGTCTTTCGTACACATGAACCTTTATGGGTTATTCCTCCCTAAATAATTATCAGACAGTGAATTAGTGAGAAAATCTTAAAATTAAGGTGTTCGTTAAAAGGTAAAAAATGATTATCAAATTTAACAAAATTGTAAAAAATTTGAAAAACAGTTTCTTAACTTCCCTTAAGTTAATAATAAGAAAATATTCGAAATATACGTTCAAATTTTCGATAAAAAGTTTGTGTCGGGAAAAATTTTAGACTGTCATGATTGTTATCATGTTGAACATTTAGTTTAATAATAGTTGCTATACACACTTGGCGAATCAATGAGAATGAAAGCTTTTGTAGTTACAGCCGGTGGTTACGACGCATCGTGTAGTGTTTTCGGTCGCACTCAGGGCAGTAATACCATTTGTAAATGAAGTTTCACGTAGGGTGGTCGAAACTACTTCAAAAGTGTATAATTAACTTTATGATATACGTATTTCTACTGTTAAACATTTAATTTTATAATTGTTGTACACACTTGGCGGGTCAGTAGCTGGCGTAAAACGCATGTCATTGTATCGTTGATCAGACCAGGATCGACAGTACCATTTATAGATGAAGTTCTACGTAGGGTGGCCAACACTACTTCAAAAGTCTTTGTAACAACAATGCCTGGAGGTTTCGTGTAACGCAGCATTTTTTTTGTAATTAAATTTACGATTTATTATAAACAAATTTACAAATTTATAAAACCCTAGAAATATCAAAATAGTATAATATGATGTCTATATTTACATTTCCGGTAAAATAACCGACAAAAGATTTTTAAAAAGAAATACCTCACATGTATCGATCGGTATTTATAAAGTTTTGGATACGACCTTGGACTAACAAAAATATTTTTCTTATTTATAGGTTCGTGTTGTATACGCGTATTATACATCGGAACTCTAAATAATTACAATTCTGTATTGTTATGGCATAACAAAATTAAAGTAGGTTTTCTTTTTTGTAATTAAGTGGTTTTTCACATGTAACGGACATAAACCCGAAAAAATGTCCATATTTCAAGACCAAATTTCGTGTGTGAGGCCTTTTTTATTAGGAATTTTCGAAAATTCTTTCTTAGCACTTGCTTACACTGTATTACACAAAGAATCTCTATGCAAGATCCAGCGATTTGAGCCATACGATGACGAATCGGGGCAGGTTATTATTGTTTTTCAAAAAATGAATGGAAATGTGCCTATTACACGATGAACCCAAAAAACATTTAACACGTTCAATGTTCATGATGCGGATTATATTGAATATAATATAATCTATGTAGACGACTCGTTTTAAAAACCCAGAATAAAAAGCTAAGGAATTCATTTTGTACGGCTCAAATTACTGATTATATACAATTTGAAAAAAAATGAAAATGACAATAAACCAACTTAAGAAAATCACCTTTCAGAAAAGGTACTATAGTCTATATACTATATATTTCGGAACAAGTTTTCTAGTTAAAAAGTTGTTAAAAAAAAATAAATAAATAAATACAAAAATACACATCATAATAAAACCAATAGATCTCTCGCTTTGTTCCGAATTTAAAAGGAATGAACACATTTAAAATGCGTTTTACTTAGGTAGGTATTAGGTATATTTAGTATTAATTACATTATAGTAAATTATAAGTGCTTTAATTTAATTAACTTAAAATTGGTTTGCGGAAATTAAAAACAGTACTGATGTTAAAAATTTGAAACACATATATTTTTATCACGAACCCATAAAAGTATGAAAAAAGAAAATTACCAAGAATTAATTAATTATGTTAATTTCTGAGCTGAGTAAGAAATGTATTGGTTTTACAGTTATTTTTTTTTTTTGTGTGTGAATAATTTTTCTACCAGCAATTTTGCTCCGATTTTCAATGATAGTACTTTTTTTGAAAGGAAATTTAACCAGGGTAGTATTTTAAGAAAGTCATTTTTTGATTTTCCCAAGAGTTTTCCAATAAATGAAAAATACCGGGACAAAACGTAGGAAAAACAGGAAAATGGGTACAATATTAAACAAATATTATTAAAGAAAATATATAATACATATATAGTTTTTTATCATCATATGACATATTTAAATATATTGTTGACAAAGCAACACTATTAACCAAACTCCGCTTAGAATCGTTAAATTAACATTGAATTTCCCATCTACCTTCCCAACTTCTCACCTACAATAATGACCCACCCACGTGCGAAGTAAGTCCATTTTTTTAAATATTAAAGTGATTTGATCAATGGGTATAATATTGAAAGAGCTTTCTCTGTAATATTTGTATTTTTTTTTTTTTATGTAAAATATGTACTCTACTCTATTATATTATTTAACGAGTTATTAAATGTATTGAATAATAAATTCAATACATTTGTTATAAATTCATATTTATTGTAAATTTAAAAAGTAAAAATAATATTTTTTTTACATGTTGATATAAGTATAATTTTAAGGCGCATAATTAGGCGATCACCTACACAATCTCAGGAGATGCCGATAATCATGTCTACGAAATTTTCTGTGATATTGTCTGTTGGAATTTTAACTTTGTCGGGTTTTTGGTGTCGGGATTATAACTATTGGGATTTTAAACGCCTCCCGTTTATTTAAATAAGCGATTAATTTGGAATTACGCCTATGGAACACAATGAAACATCAACGAATATTCTTTCAGGTATTCACAAGGAAAGAGAAGTTCACGTTTACTTTTCAATATTGATGCTAAGCACCAAAACGAATTGATTCAAAAATACAAGTACTTCTATAAAACACTACTTACGTTTGAAAAATATCATCCTATCACTATGACACAAAGGCAACATGAATTAATGAAAAAACAAACATGAGTATTGTCTGTATTTTGTCATATATTTGTTATAAAACAAAAATGAAAAAAAAATAACATATTGTAATATTATTATAGTGTGTGTGAAAATGGTTTTTTATAGGTTTTCGGTTGTATGGGTCTAATATTGTGTGATATATAGTGTGTTGATATGAATAAGTATTATATGTATTGACGATTGGCCATTTTACCTATCGTAGGAAGTTATTATTAATTCTTTGTGACTATTTATTCTAATTAATATCCTATTATGAGAATATGATAAATGAACACTTACCATGGGTGTTCTGTTTGAAATTCGTTACTCAGATGTAAGGAGCAAAATATACGGATGCATAAGTCTGAATAACTTGTTACGATATAAATACCATTTAGTTTGCTTAAAAATTAAACAGACGTGGGTCCTCTGTCACTCTGTCACCGAAACTACTATACTAATGTAGGTGCCTATTTGGCAATGCTGAGCCGTCGGGTATTAGATAAGTGACGAAATGTGAGTTTATGCTAGTAGTGTAATGTAGTGCTTATTATAAGAAAACAGTATCCACCGGCTTATTAAATAATAACAATTAATTACCAATACGTATTAACACTATTAACAATCGAGTTATTAAATTTTAAAATAATTGGAAAACACGTGCATAAAGGTATATAAAGGTATTATTTATTTATTTTTATAGATTACCATAGTAACACGCAAGGTCGGCGTTAGGATAGGACAAGTGGAGCTTACGTCCAGGGCCCCGCGCTTTCAGAAACCCTGCGCTTGTAGATCCATAAAAAAGGGTAGCATAATTAAAATGGGCGTAACACTGGCAAAATAATTTGTTTAGGAATGTAACGATGTTTTTGGGAAAACCACGTACACGCGCGTTGTCTTATTAACAGTATTTCCGGCCGTGGCCAAGTGTACGATATTATTATAATTATTAGGTGAAAGGTGTGGTAAGTTGGAAAAAAAATTTCACAAAAATAAATATATCCAGGGCCTCGGAAATCGTAATGCCGCGCCGGCCCTGGACTAACATGGATGCAATTTATTATAATGATGGATTACCATAGTAGCATGAATGAAATAAAAACAAATTTAAAGGTTAATAACATGGATGAAAGAAAAAAAGGACGGACATACTTCGCACATGGTTGCAGCTACTGTTATGGGTGGAAAGTTTGGAAGGTAGTATATAGAAGAAAATTTAATATATATCTGTAAGCAACGATAAACCATTGCTAACGAAAAAACGATTCTGAGCGGAGTTCAGTTGATAGTGTTGCTTTGTCAACAATGCAATATATAGTATATGCCATATTATAGTAAATTGATTAAAACAATGACTGTTTAAAAAAGATTAAAATAATAAAAACTTAATAGTAACAAGAAATAAATAAAAACGGTTGCGAATGACAACCTTATTTTTAATCTCAACATATTCTTGTTGATCACTAAGTGCAACTTATAATGAACTTCATGTTAAATTTTCAAGTATTTTTATTTTTGTTTGGTTTAACAATTTTATCTAGAGTAAATATTTAGTCATGAAAAACTAGCAAAAAATAAAAAATGGTCTAATAACTTTAAAATGACAAATAATATAACAATTTTACCACAACTCAAAGTATAAGACTCCTATCAAGTTGCTACGAAAATTGAAAATAATAAAAACATTATTTTCGTAAATTTTCCCCCTTTCCCTGCATTTTTTTCGGTTTCGCCCAATTATTGAGAAAACTCCTGGGAAAATCAAAAAATTACCTTAAAGTACCGCCCCGGGAAAATTCCCTTTTAAAAGAAGTGCTATACTTGATCCTTTGGAGTAAGATTTCTAGTAAAAGTTTTGTACACAGTATAAAAAAGAAAAAAAAAGAGCTGATACTGGGGACGGGTACAGCCACTATTGAAGGTGGGTAGTGTGGAAGGTGGGATACATAAAGTTATTTAATTTATACCTATAACCAAAGATGAATCATTGATAATAAAAAACGATTCGGACCGAAGTTTAGTTATACATGTTTTGAAAGGCGAATTACGAAATAATTATATTTAATATTAATGATTAATGTAGATGTCAAAATCCAGTGGCTGTGTGTTAAAAGAAACACAATGGGTCTTTTGTAATTTTTCAATTTGAGTAATATTTCTGATAGAAAACATAAATTGAACATATGAAAATAATTAAACCGCAACACTACGTTGCAGTGAATATTAATCAAGTTTAATTTTTTGGTTTTTCCCAATTATTACAAAAACTCCGTTAGATATCTAAAAACGACTTACTCTGTTAATAGTGAAATATTAAAAGGAACAAAATCGATGTCTTGTCATTTTTAGATTGGAGCAATATTTCTGGTAGAAAACATCGTGTCAACATAATAAAAGCAATGAAAACGGTAACTCCGTGGCACGCCGTGAATATTTCCCGTTTTATCTATAATTTTCTTTCGGGTTTTCTTCAATTATATCGAAAACACCTTGGATAATCAAAAAATGTCCTCCGAAATGCACCAACGAGAGAAATTCATCCTGCATAAAAGGCGCTATAGTATATACTTCGGAGCAAGTTTTCTGGTAGAAAAGTCGTTCACAGACACAAAAAATAAAAAATACACACACATCATAGTAAAACCAATAGATCCCTCGCAACTCTCCGAACCTAAAAAAAAAAAAAAAAACTAGTGAAATCAATAGATTACGCTCCGGATCTAAAAATGTACCAATTATTTAAATTTGAATTTGATGTTTGTACGAATAGTATACCAATGAATTGACGGTCCTAGATCCTGTTTATTCAAAATGTATTTACACTCGAACAGACGAACAGTTTAACGTTTATTTTATCCAATGTTCATAAGAAAATCAAAATGTATTGAACCTCTAAGGAGAACCAATCATCGCAATGATCATTATGTTCAATTATGTTTAATTTTGAAATTAAATTTATTATCTGTAATCGTTGTCAAACCTCTTACATAGTTTGTGTCTATTTTAAAATAAGATAATATATTATTCTCTTACAAATTGAAAATTATAAATCATTATCAATACGTTGGTATTGATTACAATTTTAATCGTGCTTTCCTGAACTATACAATAATATACGCTGCGTGAATAAGTGTTTTGAACGTGATATAATTTATCTCTTTTTGATTCATTCTACGTGATCCCCCTACACGAAAACTCCTTTGTAAAACTCGACCGAAGAAATTGGTTCCATTGCCAGTCCATGATATCTTAGTTCGTGATTGCCAGTAAACTGGCAGAGGGGAAGTGATTCGACCTTATCTTCTAAGACCATATCTATAAACGGTAACATGGCCGGATGACCCAGTCGCTTATTAACATACTGCACACGAAATAAAATCCTATTCGACGTACCCCAGACAGACATTTTATAATCAAATATAATTATATTATGGATGTGCTCAAGGGGGGGGGGTAGGAGGTAACTTCGAATGGTACTATGTCTAACCACTACTTTTGACTGGCTATCGCGTCACAGCAGTATAATTAAAAAGCCTCTAATAGCTGACTAGAAAACCTCATAAACTTGATTTTGTTCACTGATTTAGTATTATAATTTATAAGCAAAATTTAACACATATTTTGTACTACGAAAATTATAAATTATTTATATGTGTTATTTAATAGATATTAATGATTTAAATCCCTCCCTCCCTTATCCCATTCAAAATTTCTGAGCACGCCTTTGACCTTAATTGCCAATTATTATAATAATGCCATTTATATAATATTGAAAAAAATTAAAACAACTTTAATCTATTAAGATAAAAATAATAAAAATGCTATAATCATTCTTTTTAATTTAAATACAAATACACATAAGATTTTGAGTACTAAATCTACTAAGCTATTATTTAAAATAACCATTATATTTAAATTAATGGTATTGCACTATTAAAAACGATTGCATTATAAAATTATAAGACAAATATTAAATTTAAAACGAGCTGGGCGTGTTCACTGGCTGACGACAGTAAACTTAGTGAACAAGCTAGTGTGTGTTATTTTTATATTCAATTAAAAAAATTGCTTACAATACAAAGTGCGTTAATTCTTAAATTCTTATACATATTTGCTTTAACAATTTTAAATAAATTTGTCTTTCACGTTCTATGTTCACAACCGCCACTGAAGAGGTTACGCGCAAGACAAGTAAGTGCTTTACTATGGTATATATTATATTTAACCTTCTCCTAAAATTGTCATTCTATATTTTCTTACTCTCATAGAAAGTAATAAATAATTTAAGTGGCCAGCAAGGTTAAGTATTTAACTCTTTTATACTCTATTTACCCCTGTATCCTATTATTTAATTTATTATTAGCGCTTAGAATTTTTTCTGCGACTAAATTTTACATCAGCTATCGATCTGACGCAATCCTATTTTTCGTTACTTATGACACGTATAGGTACTTGTCTACTATAAGGAGAATTTATTCTCACTATAGAATTAATACCATATTCTTACTGGAATCACTTACCTGGGCTTTCCACTAGTAAGCTCTCGTGGCCTCGGATTTGTTAAAGTCATAGCAATATATGCTCCTCCTAAGGTTAAATTTAAAGATAAGTTCTACAACCGACTATGCTGTATAGTATACAGAAAAATAGTATGAAAAGCAGAGTATGAATGTGACACAGATAAGACAGCTTAGGTGGATGAGTGAAGTGATGAGAGAGCATAGGATGAGGAGCGAGTACATAAGACTATAAAAAATGGTTGAAAAAATGAGTGAAAATGGACTGATATGGTTGGGGTATGTCATGAGGAGAGAAAAATTAGAGGCATTATAAAAATAGCAATACAAATAAACGTAGAAGGAAAGAGGGAAAGAGGAGACTGAAAAAGAGGTGGTTGGATGATATGAGGATGACGGCTGTGTGCAAAGATAATCTGGGATCGGTTCAAGTGGAAGTTTAGGACGAGAGTGATCAATACCAAATAGTTGAGATGATAGCTAACGAGAATAAGATGGTGTTCTAAAATATTAAAAATAGCAAAAATAAAATATACTTTAGTTTATTATTTTATATTAACTTGTATTTTTTCTACATTTAATCAGTAGATAGGCCACTACACCGAGCCATCTAAAAATCTAATAATACAAAATATTATTTAATGAAATGGAAATGTGAGTAATTTTCTTTAGAAAATCCTTTAGGATTTAGATAAATGACCAATTTGTTCTACTATTTTTCATACAATTTAAACGAGATTTATGAAAAATACAAAATTATTTATTTAATTTTTTTATTTATTAAGTATATTATCAAAAAATGGCAATATTAAATTTTTTATTTGGATTCCCTGGTGCATGCAACTAATATACTCGTATAGCTCACTCTGCTATTTGTATCTGTATTCTATAATAATTTACAAATCCTTAAAAATCTGATCCTAGTTCATTACAGTATATATATATATAATATAAGGTTTATTTTGAACATTGAGAAATGTATTATACCGGATGATCCATTTAAGTGGCTACACTCATTATCACAGAAAGTATAAGCTTTTTATGGAATTTGTCTTCTAGAACATTTAAGAAACAAGCTGCTTTATAATTTTATACTTATGTTATTTTTTGTCACCCTTATTTTTGAGGATAAAACCACTACTTACTTTTGATTTTCAAATAGCAACCTATACTAAAAATTCCATAAATATAAATTTAAATAATACAATTTATTTTAATAAATACTCCATCTATTTTAGAAATTTTATAATATAGATTTCCATTTGAAAATCAAAAGTAGGTAATGGTTTTACCCCTCCAAAAAAGGGTGACAAAAAATAATATAATTATACAATTTTAGAGCTGCTTGTTTCTTAAATGTTATAGAAAACAAATTCCGAAAAAAAATAATACTTTCCGAGATAATGAGTGTACCCACTTAAATTAATGACCTGATATAAATTCTATACCTACATTAATTTTAAGAAAAACTACAATGTGTTAAATTTAAATTACATTGTATTTTTGCCAATAATTTTGAAATCTAATAACTTCATCTATTTCAAATTTACAATAATTGATATTTCTATATAAGTAACGTTTTCGGATCCAGAAAATAATGTGACAGCTAAAATAATATTTACCTAATAATTGTATTATTCTTTGACAGGTTAATAATTTATTATGGACCATTCAGGTAAACTGTTTTTTTTATAATTCACTAGTATATTCTTATTACACAAATATGCAAAATGATAAATGATTATTATCTTCACATTCTACATTAGTTTAAAATTGTTTTAGTAATTTTCTGTTTTCTAACTTTTATTTTCCCTGTTATTTTTATTTATTTAAAGTTTTGTTGTTTAATTTTCGCGTATTTCCGGTTGCTTTTCTTGTCGGTCACAATACAAAGACAACTTCTAAGTCACCAATAAACTATACTGAAAACGTGTTATCGATACAAGTATTGAGATTTCAACCACCTATCCGTTGCTTAGCAAAATGAATGCATCAAAACGTTTGTATCCGATGTTGCTGCTATTGATTGTACTTACGGTAACATTTGTTCAATGCAATGACGGCTTACTCAGGTGAATATTTGAGCAGCAGGTATAATAAATAATAACTGCTTATATATTTTATTACTGATGTAGAAGTAAGTTTAGATATAAATTAACAAATTAATTTTTGGTTAAATCTTTTTCAGAATAAAAATATCTAAACATAACAAAATACGTAAAACAGTTAGAATAGAAGACGAATTCCATAATAGTAGTGAACTCATCACTGAACCGTTCTTTAATTTTTTTGATGTAAACATACAATTTTAATCATAAATATTTTTTCTATATAGCAATTTTATCTCTAGGCTCAATATTATGGACCAATTAGTATTGGAACTCCTCCTCAAGAATTTAACATGATGTTTGATTCAGGTTCATCAATAATGTGGGTGCCGTCGTCACATTACAATTTTTTCAACACACCTTGCAGTACGATATTTTATTATACCTTTTTTTAAATTTGACAGTTTCACATTTATATTTTTGTAATTAATTATAAGCACCTAGATCTACTAACAATTTGTTTTTTTAGTGTTTCACAATACTTATGATAGTGGAAAATCAACTACATTCCAGAAAAATGGATCAACACTTGAACTCATATATGGTTCAGGAAATGTGTATCTTCGTTTATCTACGGATGTCGTTACAGTGAGTAAAATGTATACTAAATACAGTAAATAATATAAAGATAAAAAATTAATTTATTTTAGATTCTGAATGTAGTGAAAATGTATTGGTTTTATTAAAATGTTTATTTTTTTTTACTTTTTTTTTTTTATACTGTGTACGAAAATTCGATCATAAATCTTGCTCAGATGTATACGCAGCAACATTTCTGAAAGGAATATTGTCCTAAAAAATTTGAGCCATTTTTGAGGTATTTATAAACATTTTAATTTTGAGAGTTTTATACATAATATTTATTCGGTAGGTACTCTGTGGTAAAATTATTAGACATGAACAGAAATGCTTCAAAATGTACAGGTGGTTCATTAAGAGTCTTAATTTGTGGAAAAAAAAATGAGTTTAATGTAGTATTTTTTTTATAAGGGAATTTTAATATTAAATTTTGATAAAAAATTATGTGGAACAAATATAATTTTTCAGTGTTTTTTTTTTTTTTTTAATATTGTCGATCTAAAAACGATGGTAAAGACAGAATTAAGCGGACTGACTAAGTTTCGAAATTATAGCTTTTTGAAGTTCTGATATTATGCAGATATTATATGTTATATTAAATATTTTTATATTATCCCACTATTGTATATTTGTCGTGATCAAATGGTATTTATGCTTAAAACCCATTTAGGATTCCGAATTCAAACCAGTATGACGAAAAATATGTGTTTGCATTTTTTTCTCCTTTTACCTAAACAAGGGAAAAACAAATACATTTTGGACGTACTTAGAGACCCAAGCCATCGCTCCCTCGGACTATTTTAATCGCAACATACCCCTCGATTTGTTGTTCAAACTTTTCTAACAGAAATCTTGCTTTGATATATCAATTGTAGCTTATTTTCTGAAAGGAAATTTTATCTCCATGATAATTTGGAGAAGTCGTTAATTGATTTTTTAAGCGATTTTCATAACATCTATGAAAAACCGGGAAAATGTCGGACAAACGGAAAATGTACGAAATGTAGATATTAGTAAAAAAATATAATGGCCTTTTTTTTCTGTGTACAACTTTTCTACCAGCAATTTCACTCCGATTTAAAATGATAGCATTTTTTCTTAATGGAAATCTAACTGAGAAGATACTTTAGGGAGGTAATTTTTCGATATTCCCAGGAGTTTTCCCAATAAATGGGAAAAAAATTGAAAAATCGGTACAATTATTATTAAAAAAAATATGCCTATTTAATTTTTTTACCATAATATGACAGATATATTGCTGAAAAAGTATCACTATCAACTGAACTCAGCTCAAAATCATTTTATCGTTAGCAATAGTTTATCGTTGCTTACAGATATACATTAAATTACCTATAACAATAGCTGCACCAGTCTCCATTATCCTAGGATTTTTTTTTTATTTCTATATATACATTTTTTATTTATATTTTATTTAATATATTTATTTACGAGTATAAAGCATTTTAATAATTTTATTTTTACTTTATTATTTTATCATTGTTTATTAAATAAAATCGTTCAATAATAATATGTTTTTAAGAAATGCACTTACAATAATTATTCAGGTGGCTGGTGTTCCTATATATAATCAAACTTTCGGTGAAGCTTACCAACAATCACAGATAAGTTTTACTTTAGCCAAATTTGACGGAATATTCGGTTTATCATTTTCTAAATTTACTAATAGTATCACTCCGCCATTCTTCAACATGTTGAAACAGGGTATCTTGAAAAATCCAGTGTTTTCGTTTTATTTGTCGAGGTAGTATAGTATAATATGACTGACATTACTTTTAATTATTCTGAAAATTCGGTAAATTTAAATTTTAGAAATCCAGCCAAACCTATAGTTGGTGAAATTATATTTGGTGGATCTGATCCTGAAAAATATTATGGTGACTTAAATTATGTACCTGTTGTCGGAGATGATTCCTGGAAATTTGATGTTGATGGGTATGTACAATTTATAATTATTCGTATGAAACTATATCGTCATTATTGTATTGAAACTGTAATTATTTTTTTATCATAAAGAATACTCATTGATGGAGAACCTTATCTGAGTGATGGACATATTCCGACAGTGGCTGATACTGGCTCTAGCCTAATCTTTGGACCATCAGATCAAATTGATGTTATCAATAAGCGAATTGGTGCTACATACATTCCAATAGGAGAGTATATTGTAATTATAAATGTGTTTGCGATTTTTGTACTTTTCTGTAACTTATTTTATAATTTAGGTTGATTGTAAAAAAATTAATAGTTTACCGAATATATCATTTGTTATTGGTGGCAAAACATATGATCTTCAAGGAAATGATTATATAAAAATAGTACGTCTATCTTAATATTTTTTTTTTTCAATATTTATAATATAATATTTATTAATATTATTATAATATGATCTTTTTTAATTAATTATTTTTCGTATTCCAGTTTACAACGTTTGGGAAAAGTATTTGCGTATCTGGTTTTGTGGGTTTAAGCTATGATATGTTCCATGAAAATATATGGATATTAGGTAATATTTTTCTTACTCGTTACTACACTGAATTTGATTTTGGAAACAAAAGAATTGGTTTTGCCGAGAGTAAAGACGATGCTTGATTCCAAATATATAAATAGATTCATTCGTGGACTTATTTAAAGCATTTTGGTGCGTATTTGCATTGTAGTGAATCATTAATGGCTGAGTTTTTATAAATTTCAAAATGTCAGTAATTTTTAGCGATATCAATAATTTAGTTTACATTATAATCGCACCATTATTTTCTATTGTATGTATTTTGTATTTATGTAAATAATATAATGTTTGTAAACAAATACAAATAATGAACATATTTAATTTACTTTGAAATTTATTTATTTCAGGAATATTATTTTATAGATTTTATTAGCATATTATATACGTTTAATGTTCTATAATACAACAACCGATATACAATTTAACTGATTTCTCGTGAAAAAAAATAACCTATTAAATAACATTAGTATAACTATAACATTTCAGAGTAAAATTAATCATTACTAACCAAAACCAAATAATTGGTTCATAATTATTACTTATACAGCATGAACAATTATTGAGCCACGGATTTGTGTACACTGATAGCGTAATTAAAATAAAATTAGGTATACTTATAATAGTGAACATCTTTTAAAACGAATCTGATACTGATAATAATTGATGTTTGTAATATTTTCTGTTTCTAAAAGCTTTTCTTCATAAACCATACAATATTAAATTACTATTTAGTATATTTATTAAATACTATCTCGGCTGAAAGCCGAAAGAAAATTCAAGCGGCTCATTAGCTGGAAGTTTGTGTACATATATTTTACTAAGATGTATATATTTTCATTCTGTAAAACAACGTTTCTTTTAATCTTCAAATATTTCAGCGGCGATCGTTATGGATATTGTTTCAAAATTTCGATTATACAATAATAATACTATATATAGCCACAGAAAAAATGTGTGTCGTAAAACGCAATAATACACGACAACTTGTTATTAAATAATGCTCCGGGATTTTAAATAATATAATACCTATTATTCTTTATTAATATTTTCCCAAAATTATACGTGAATCTAATAATGTAAAGTGATTTAATGGGTGCATTATGATAGGACACATCTTCCAGTTGTCCAGTGGCCCAGTAAGGGCCTGGTTGCATCGATTATTTATATTGGCTTTTTCTAGGCGTGGTACAACTTTCAAAACATTCTGGCTATTTTTTTAGATATTTTTGAAAATTCTTGATATACCGCTGAGCTAATAATAACAAATAGTAATAATCGTCTTCTCGTAATTTGTTTGTTTAATTTTAATTTGATACATAGCTGGTGCATAATAATTATAAAAACATAATATATTATATATTTTACACTAATAAAAAGTATACATAATATATACAAACAAAACGTGTGAGTATCGTATGATTGTAAAACAAATTAGGAACTTTGTATAATATTATTACTATATTTGCAGTAAACGAATTGGTAAATATTTCACTATTTTGCAGCACAAAGACAAGGAATTATATTTTAAGAACATAGAATATTGTATAGTTATTGTCAATTGAATGTGGGACGATTGTCTAAAAAATAAAAATCCGCTATTCCTTCAAAGAGTACTGAATCCCCCACAGATGTTGTAACTGAGTACACAAAAAATATTCCTGCAGGAGTTGCGTAAAATCATTTTGAAATTTGAGCTGTGATGTGTTATAAAACTTTTAATTTCGCTCGTCCAATGTGTACAACGTTTTTCACAATTATTGCTTTCTGAAATATTATTTCGAGTTTTTTTTACCGTATACGTAAAATAATGAATAAGAGTAAGCAGTGTTAAATTCAAAGAATTTTTCTGGGGAGGATTCAATTTTTTTGATTGATCATTTCGATGTAAATTAGATTTTAATTACTATTGTCATAATATTTTCAAGAATATTTAGACGACTTATAGTAGGTTTTAAGTCCATAGTGAATAAATGACACAGAACACGCGCCACACACAACAATTTCGTTCACTATTTCGATCGCACTTAATTACAATTCAATTACTCCTTATTCAATAATGAGGAAATACGGGCAGCCAATCTAAACATTTGACTACAGTGTTTTCTACAATTATTAATAGTGCAGGTATAATATTTTTATAATAAGGATAATAAATACTCTAATAGCATCTATACTGTGAATAAAAAAAAAACCTATGTTAATTGTATTTTTATAATATTTTTTATCGTACAAAAACTTTAAGTATTACCGAAATTACAAACATTTTTTTTTTTTAAACATAAATTTGAAAATTAAAAAGTTACTTTTTTTGATTAAATTAAGTTAGGCATTTTCGAATACCTAAATAGGCATAGAAAGTATTTTTTTACAATAGTTTGCAATTATTTGAAATTTTCAAAAATCCCTGTTGGCCACTCATTTCAATTTCGAAGCACTGAGAGACGGTACCAATGCCATGACTAACAAAATCGGCACCCGGGGCTAGAAAAACTTAACGATTGGCAAAAAGAAAAAAATAATAAAGACCCAACCTGGTTGTTGGACGTTCACTCATACGTTTACTATAAAAATATTCAATTTCAAAACTTAACAATTTTCAAATGGTGCGAACGCCCCTGTAGTCATTGCGCCCGGTGCGTGGGCACCTCTCGCACTCCCCTAGGCACGACCCTGAACGGAACTATAATATCCATTCAAAAAGACGTTCCAGTAAAATGCACTAGTTGTATAATAATAATATAATATATTTCTATAGAATTATAATATTTACCCGTCTTATTATTACATCGTCTTTGTCGTAATTGTGTCACTGGGTATACCTACCTAAAATGTATTATCTGACGATTCAGTTTGTATAATAATAATAATAATAATAATAAGGTATACGGTGTGCGGCTGAATATTACAATGATGCGTTGTTTTTTCACAGCGGTTGGAAAATTCTCATCTCGCGCGGTTTTATAAAATGGCCAGATACCTGTATAATATTAAGATTTTTAATTTTTAAATGATGTATAATAATACGTTGCCGTCATATTATATTAATATACAACTGCCCCCGCCTACTTTGAATCCTACGCGTCCTGATGAGTACGCTCGAAATCCTAGAGACTATAATTGAGATTATTGAGTTTGAAAAAAAAAAAATTGTATCATGATGATGACGGCACGTTTATATTTATATGTATACCTATTTATGGATAATCTCTGAAAAATTACCAAATTACCTTCCGTTATTCACATGATGGTAATAATACTATTATTATAGTCACGAAAATTTGCAATACGATTGACAATTTGATCACCTTGAAGTATGCACAACTGAAATGTATACAAACAAAAACCGTGTACAATGAGTTCTAATAAAAGTTATTAGTAAAATATATATGTATTTTTTTTTTTTTTTTATTATGCTTTTTCAACTTTGGTAATTTTATTGCGTATTCCGTACCTACATTAGTTTTAAAAAAAACCAAAACGTATTCATTGTAAAAACCATTGTTTGAAATCGTAACTTCGTCTATTGCAGCAGATGAACAAAAATTAAAATTTACGTATTGAGATCGTTTTTATACTTATAAGTTACTTATAAGCTAAGTTGATTATAATGATGACCGTAGTAAACACAAAATAAATATTGTTACGATATTATAATGTATTTTATATAGGAACATAACACATAGTATAGTCAATAATTTGTCTTTTCTTTGTTCACGCAAGCACACAACAATATTAAAAATTACTACAATAGAATATTATATTTTTATATACGGCACAAGAAGCCAAAACGCATTAAAAGCCGTAAATTAAAAATAGACATAGGTACGGTGTTTCAAATAAATTATTGATTGTCATTACTATTGGTTTTTTTTTCTAATTCATATGTATACAGGGTCTTTCAAATGGAAAATTGCACGTCAGTCTGTAGTTTTGAGAGTAAGAAAGTATGGAATATAACAACCATATTGATACTCTTACTCTAAGAAGTGTAATCCTATAAAATTCGAAATACCCTGTATACCTAATATAGTTTGCATCAATTGAAAAGCAACAATTTTTTTTTTTCTTTATTAGAGTATTCTTTATTTAGGTATTGTGATATTAATTCTATAAATTATCTATACACACGTGTGCCATCTCCTCGAATGGATATTATCGATGCCGTGTGACGACGAACTTGCGTTAAAAATAGTGCCGTAATAGCCCAAAAACATATGGTAACGTACGATTGTGCGCGTTTTAAAAACCATGTGTACAAGTTAATAATAAATAAGAATATGCCGTCCAAATTCCACACGCGCCTAAACCGAAATCAGTATTGTACGTGCGATCAAATTTAAATAATGTTATTATTTATGCCAATATGTGTACGTTTGATTTTAAAAGTAATATAAAAATAATATTAATTTTAGATTTTGTCAAGGGTAAGATATTGATTTCGAAACGTGCATTATAAGGTTTAGAGGTAATGTTTTAAAATGTTTTAAATTGTAACCTCCATTTTTGGTAGGGCTCAAAGTAACAATTGTAGGCAGCTTAACCTCCTCAAATAATAAGCGACATATGCTCGGTTGAACTATAGTAATGAGGTAGTGAGAAAATGAGACTGTGGGATTACTGGGATTACTGCCTACTAGTGACGAGAACCGGAAATGTTCAAATAAAATAAAAACCCTAGTGTTAACCAAACAAAAAGACGGACATACTTCGTACGTGGGTGCAGCCACTGTTGTATAGGTGGGAAGTTGGGAAGGTAGAACATAGAAGAGAATTCAATGTGTATCTATAAACAACGATAAACCATTGCCAACGAAAAATCATTCTGAGCGGAGTTCAGTTGATAGTGATGCTTTGTTAACAATAATGTATGTCGTATTATGGTAAAATAATTAAATAGACATAATATATTTTCTTTAATAATATTTGTTTAATATTGTACTGATTTTCCCATTTTTTTCCCCGGTTTTTCATTTTTGCTGAGAAAACTCTTGGGAAAATTAAAAAATTACCTCCCTATATTACCTTCCCAGTCAGATTTCCATTCAGAAAAAGTGTTATCGTTGTAAATCGGAGGTAAATTACTGGCAGAAAATTTGTTCACAGCGAAAAAAAGGCCGGAATATTCAACTACAAAATACCTACATTTTGTACGTGTTCCCGTTTTTTCCCATTTGTTGATAAAATTATTAATAATAATAAATAGACTCGAGATCTTTAAATAAATATATAGCTTTATTAGGATCGCCTTAAATAGTTTCTCCATAAAATGTTAAACATTTAGGTACCCATTCATAAAATGCATAATTTATTGTTTAAATGTTTACGGTTGAAAAATACGAAAAAGATAATTGATAATAGATAACAAATAAATACAATTTTATAATGCAGTAAATGCAGATAATCTGTTACTTTATTAATTTATTATTGAGCGTTTTCATACTTTTTGTAATCATATGTTTTTTATTAATACAATACATTGAAATTACAAAACCGGGACAAAAGTGAGACTTCATTAAATCAGTAAATTTTATCATCCAAGACTAGACTTGAAAGTTTAAAGGGACACCCATTCAAAAATCGATACTTTCTCGCCTAAATCGGGACGTCTGGTCACACTATCTAGATTTTCATCATAACCATCATATATTTAAATACTTACCTGGTGATGCAATCTAGAAAATTCAAAAGAAATGAATAATGATATTGTACAAGTCCATAGCTAACAGAAAAGTTAGTCACCACATCATCAGAATTAGTGCAGCGAACAACCAACTTTTTCAGCCGAGTGTACCATCTATTTTTCATGAAGATTTTTCAACAATGATTAAAAACAAATGTTAATAGGCGCTGCTTATGGATTAAATTTTACGAAATTCGGTATTGACTATTGAGATGAATATTGTAATATTACTAATTACCCCCTCCCACCCCTCCTCCTTGAATAGTTCCAAATAATCCGCTCCTGTATCCGTGATTCGTCAAATAAACCTACCTGTTATTATTTAATTCCTGCATGTGATCGTGATTTGTTGAATATTAAACAGTTTATGTTAGGTTAGGCAGCCATGGTGTGCAGCCGATTTATAATTTTTAAAACGGTGGTGCACCTAAGTGTCATTTAATTATTGTTTTTTTCCCGACGTCCGTCTAAATCTAAAATGACAAAACTTTTTGAATGGGACGAATAATACGTAATAAATCGATAGGTCATTAAAACTAAATTTCGTATTTTATAATAATAAAATAATATTTAAGTAGATACGGTCGTTTATTAAGTAGGTAAGTAAAGGTACCGATCGACAAATAAATAAATTGTGGATGATGGCAGACTGCAGACCATAGGTCTGTTAACCATAATATAGTTTATACTTTATAGGTCTATGCTGCTGAAATCATCCGAGTTCAATTGCTTATTTAAGTCATTTTAGGACCGCGACCCACATGGTTTCGCTTTTCAAAAAGTAGTTTAAAACAGCCGGGAAAATCAAAAAATTACCTCTCTAAAGTACCACCCTAGTCAGATTTCACAAACTTGAACATCGAAGCAGGAATTGCTGATAGAAAAGTTGTTCACAAATACAAAAATAATTAAATACCATTGTAAAACCAATGCATTCCTCGCTCCATTCAGAATCTAAAAACATACATTTCTATATAATTCAAAATAATTTTCATGACCCACCAAAAATTGACCCGACACTCGTCAGTGGGTCGCGACCCACAGTTTGAGAAACGCTGGTATACTAGAATAATAAAATATCATGGCTAAATAAAAGTTATTTAGCCATGTGCCCATGTAGAATACTGTCTGGTTTTTGTTACCTTGTTGATACTGTTGAACCTAACCTGTGACGGTCACCGGCTGTTGTCAGTTATCAAAGTTATACTGATAACGAGGTACAAAATAAATAACAAGTATTGTGTTTATATTATGCAGTTGCAACTTACATTGCCATAGTGTAGTTTTTTACAACATTGCTATTTTTTTCTCAGGTATTTATTTTATCTGTTGATTTATTGATTACATTTTTCTCGAATGACTTGCACATTCTCAGTCATCACTGAACTGCTAAAAACGTATTATTGATACAGACATCGAGATTTCAATTGCCTGCCTATCTATTATAGAGCATAATGGGCTCATCAAAACATTTATATCCAATGTTGCTGCTATTGGTTGTGATCACGGCGACATTAGTTCAAAGCAATGATGATTTACTTAGGTAAGAAGTATAATAAATAATACCTAACTATATATATTTTTTACTAATGCCAATGCCACATCGATAAAAGTAATTTTATTCAAACTATGTAATATTATTACCTAACTTATCTATAAATTAATGTTTTGTTAAATTATTTTCAGAGTTAAATTGTTTAAAATGGACAGTGTGCGAAAACAACTTGGAGGGGTCGCGAAAGCATATCAGAAAAGTCACTATCCAAATGGATACACCGCTGAACCGTTATCTAATTATTTAGATGTAAACATATAATTTTAATCATAAATATTTATTCTATATAGCAATTTTATTTCTAGGCTCAATATTATGGACCAATCAGTATTGGAACTCCTCCTCAACCATTTAATGTGGTATTTGATACAGGTTCATCAAACTTGTGGGTGCCATCGAAACAATGCAGCATCTTGAACATAGCATGCAGTACGATATTTTATTATAATTTCTTTAAATTTATCAGTTTTAACATATTTATACTTTTGTACCTATATTTCTTTAACAATTTTTTTTTTTGGGGGGGATTTTTTCAGTGTTTCATAATAAATATGATATGGCTAAATCAACTTCATACCAGAAAAATGGAACAACATTTGACATACAATATGGTTCAGGAAGTCTATCAGGTTATTTATCTACTGATGTCATTACTGTTAGTAAAATTTTTATAAAATAAAATCATTCATAATACCTATGTTATTAAGTAATGAATTACAATAATTATTCAGGTGGATGGCAATACCATATTTAATCAAACTTTCGCTGAAGCTGTCAAAGAGCCAGGTTTAGCTTTTGTTGCAGCAAAATTTGATGGAATACTTGGTTTAGGATATTATACAATATCTGTTGATGGAGTCGTTCCTCCATTCTATAACATGATTGATCAGGGCTTAGTCAAAAAACCGTTGTTTTCATTTTATTTGTCTAGGTAATATGGTATAACATGACTAAAGATATTTTTAATTTTTTCTGAGTATTCTATACATTTAACTTTAGAGATCCATCTAAAACTCCAGGTGGTGAAATAATATTCGGTGGATCTGATCCTGAAAAATATACTGGCAACTTTACTTATGTTCCTGTTACCAGACATGGTTATTGGCAATTTGGTCTTGATGAGTATGTACTATTTATATTAATTTTTGTAAAATTGTGACATATTTTTATTGTTTATTTCATAAAGAATACTTGTTGGAAAAACGTCCATTGTGAGTGGTGCTCTTCAGGCAATTGCTGATACTGGTACCAGTCTAATCGCTGGACCTGTTGATAATATTAAACAAATCAACACTCTTCTTGGTGGTACTCCCATACCAGGAGGAGAATATATTGTAATATGAAATCTTAACATTATTTTTGTACTTTTCTTTAACTCATGTTACATTTTAGATTGCTTGTGACCAAGTTGATAATTTGCCAATTATATCATTTGTTATTGGTGGCACAACTTTTAACCTTGAGGGAAAAGACTATATATTAAAAGTATGTTTTTGATTGTTTTTTTTTTTATTTAAGGTTCATAAAATTTAAATAATATTATGATTATTTTTTTTTCAAGGTTTCTCAATTTGGAAAGACTATATGCATATCTGGTTTTATGGGTATCGACATTCCTCCTCCCAATGGTCCATTGTGGATATTGGGTGATGTATTTATTGGTCGCTACTACACTGAATTTGATTTGGGAAACAATAGAGTTGGTTTTGCCAATTGTAAAGAAGATGTTTGATTTTAATTATATTAATATACTCAGACACAGAACTGATCGAAAATCTAAGTGATTTTAGTGATTCATTATGATTTTTAAACTTAGTTTTTATACCTTCAAAAATGTTAGTTAATCATTTTGAGTCAAATATTATGATTATTTATAACATAATTATAGCATTATTTTCTATATTTTTCTTACGTGTGTAATAATTGATATACTGACTTTATGTAATATACAAACGTCTATGAAACAAATGAAAGGAATTACCATACTTCAAAAAACATTAGATTGATAATTATTTTATAAATTTGATGTATTTTGGTTTTGTGTTTAGAAAAATAATAATTATAACAATAAATGTTTATTAAACATTTAACATAGGAATTTAACCTATGTTTGCAATTTATAGATATTTATATACAGGATGTCCTACAATGTTATGCATATGTTAATAACTCTGTCAATATAAATTTGTTTTCCAATTTGGTTTTGTCAGGAGGATACAAATGAGAAAAATTAAATTTTCATATTCATCTTAATCAATGAAAAAAAATATTTAATATTTTCACTTTTTTATATTTGTAAAATATATTGTTCTAAAAATTGTGTAATGTATCAAACATTTAAATTCAATCAATATTTTCTTTAAAATAGTCATTTTAATATCTAAGGAAAGGTATAAAAATGAGACTACTACATAACGCGATAGTAAATCATAGTAATATAAGATGAACAATTTTGAAGTTAAAAATGCTATTACTATGAAACTATTGATTAGATATAAATGTATTATGCATTACAATTTTTGAATAATATATTTTACAAATTGGCTTTTTTAAACATTTTAAAGTTATTTTTTTTTCAGTGATTTAGGAATGAAAATAAAAATTAAATTGTTCTCTACATTTGTGTACCCTGACACAAAAAATGAATACCTATTGACAGTTATTAGCATATAGATAACACTGACTAACCTAACCTAAATAATAGAGTTTCTCCTGATGTAAATATTTTAATTTAATTTAAAAAAAAATTATAATTTGTAATTTTGGTCAAGTCTGTTCAGAGCTTACCATTTCAGTATTTACTCTAAATTGTAGTGTTTAAGTCATAATTCAAATTTAAACATAAATAATATAATTTAAGGAAGAGAAAATTTTCTGAGGTCACCCAGCTTTATTTTTGTTTGACAATATTTTAGAAAAAAAGCTATGTGGTGCCCTATAAAATATTCTACTATTTAAATTTTGTTATTTATGTTTGAACTCTGAAGTTTATTTAAATACCACAATTTAAATTTTGTGTTATATAATTTGTCTTTGTTACCAATTAGTTAATTTGAGACAGCAAATGTGAGTATACTATCCTGTTATACATAATTTAATTAGGTACAAACTTAGAATCACAATATCTGATGGACTGACCAGAACAGATTCGACAATAACCTATGAATTGAAGTACAATGTAGTGATAAGTTGAGTAATTAATAAAAACCTTAAAAACTATTTTATTTTATAGTATTCTTATTACTTATTTATTCAAACTTGTTTTGTTAACGTAGCTTATAAATTATTTACTATGATTATACTTATGTGTGCTAATTTTAGTGTATATGTTTGTGTTTTATTTTGATTTATCATCTTCATTGTATGTCAATTATAATATAATAGTTCATTATTTTAATTTATACAAACAAACGTTCACATTTTAACTAAGCAACTCAAAACATTTGATGGTAAGTCTGAAAATTTATTTGCAGTATTTTGACTATATTTTTTATTATAATATGTGTCTAGTTTAATCACTGTGCATATTTTTAAAAATAGGCTTCACTTGATGGACAACATTCACCAACTTCTTTGATAGAATGTTGAAATTTTTTTTGACAAATACTGAATCCATGAACAACATGAACCATGGGTGCTTATCCATCATTATAGATCAAGTATGAATATTTGTAAAAGTATTTTTAAAGTTGATTAACAGATTAGATGATTTTTTTATGTTACATATTCATTAGCATGAGCTCAACAATATCAATAACTAATATGAATGGTCATAGTTGAATCTCTAAATACCGAAAGGCCACATATTCAAATTTTAAAATTTTTCCAGAAACAAAAACCTAAACTCAAAAACTTGAGTTTTGTAATATTTAATAAAGTAACTGTAACTTAAAATAACTTATGATGTCTAACACTAAAGCATTAAAAATTAACATGACATTTTTTTTTCAGATTAAACATTTTTTCTTTAAAATGTAAACATATGCCCCATATTTCAGTTATACTTTTGTTTTAAATAAAAACTATTAAAAATTCAAATTAGTTGTTTCATGTAAAATTACGTTCCAAGAATTGGACGGATTACTAGCTGGATATAGTTTTACAGCAATACACTTAAAACAAAATTAATCACTCAAAAACAAAAAATATTAAATGTGTTAATTATAATAGTTAAATAGGTTTAGTATAGTTTAAATAGATATTATAGGATGTTTTAGGATATTTTTTGTTTATGAAATATTCTTCTTCACATTGTATTGTGTTCCTTAGTTTAATAATGTTTCCCAATATTTTCAAATTATTTAAATAATTTTTAAGGTCGTAATCATAAGAAAAACATATGTATTTTTTAATTTTTATATATATATATAAATCGTAATTTTTAATACAAGATAATGATCATTTTATTGTAAATTATCAGAAAAAAAACACGAATGTTGTGCTATTTTATTTTTCAAATAAGATATTCTAAATTTTTTTTGTGTATTTGATAAATCAATCTTTTAATCTACTCTTCTTAAATATTTTGTTTAGGGGTTGAAACATATTACTTATCCTTCGTTTAGTTACCAAAGGAATAGTTATACTGCAATTACTTGAAATAAAATTATTTTTTTTATAAGTATGAAAAAATAAAAAAAAAATCCCAATGTGAAAAACACGATAAAACATCCTTTACATTTTGAATTCAGAATTTTTTTTTTCCTTTTTAATGCACATTAATATGTAAGTATTGTTCTAATCGTAAACTATAAGAATTATCATCCACCTTTTGTTACAACTTTAATTTAGTTCTTTAATCTGGGTCTAGGCCAAAATAGCGAAAAATATAATGTAAATATTTATTACTTTTTGATAATTTTAAATTTGGACATAAATATTATATGCAATAATATTTTTTTTTATCTGTGTTAAAAAGAAAAAACAATTTTGAATTCTAATTATGAAGAATTTTTTGTCTTGTTATTAATTATTGTACCTCTTTTTATATTCTTAAATATTTTATTCTATACTTATTCCATAATTGATTGTAAAAATAACTGTATTTTAAGTAATTTCATGTATAACTACATGAATATGAATAGTATGAATAGTGAATTCACTATTCAAGTATAATCATTTCCTTGATAATTAAATGAAGAATTTGTATAGAATATATTTAAGGGTAGTTTCAAGGGTTGATTTATTATAAAGCTGGATAAATAGTAAAATTTAGAATATTTAACTTGAAAAAAAAAATAGGAATACATTTTTTATCACATCTTATAATTTTCTATTTAATAATCTTACCTTAAGAATTAAAAAAACTACTTTTTGCCAAGAAACGATGGTCGAATTTAAAAAAAATCATTTAAATAATCTAAAATAATTGGGAAATAATATTAACCTTTAAGGAGAACAATATCTATGGAAGAATATTGGAAAAATTCCTAAAACTCATACTTGCATATACTAATTAATTTGTTGAATATAACTAATCTAAAACTTAAGTTCTAAATGGTTTTATTGAATGTATTAATGTAAAACCACTCATCGGCATGAATCAGATGTATATTCTCAGAATGCTTTTCAATGTTTATAAACGGAATTTTGGATAAATATTATATGTCCTCTTAAGCAGTTGCAATTTCTTACATTAATACACTTGTAATAACACTTGTTTTTATCTATTATTATTTTTTTTTGTTTATTTAACGATTTATCATATGATTATTTAATGCAGCAATGAAAAATCACGTTATTAGTATTTGTTTGCATTTTATTTTCATTTGTTCTATGTTGCTACTAATCTACTGAGGACGTATTGGTATTCAAATTTCAAATTTTCCAACCACCGTTGAGCACAATGTATACATCAAATTGTTTTTATCTGATATTACTGCTACTTTTCACAGTCATGGCAACATTAGTCCAATGCAATGACGATTTTTTGAGGTGAGTTAAAATAGTTTTATTATGTTTTTATGATTTGTTGTTACATTCGGGGTGTAAACTTATCCTATATATAATACATTCTACCTTTGTATTTTTAAAATATCAAAGCTTTACTGTTTTGATATTATTTTAGGACATTTTCACAAGAAAATATTATAAATATTTTAATCCCTAATTTATGTCTAAATTAATATTGTGTCCAGAGTGAAATTATATAAAGTAGATAGTGTGCGTAAACAGCTTGGAGGAATTACTAAATCCTATGGTCAAAGTCATCGTCGATTTGGATCCAACATCAACAGTGAACCATTAACTAATTTTTTAGATGTAAATATGTAATTTTAATCATCATCATTATTTTTATACGACAATTATTATTATAATTCAAGGCTCAATATTATGGACCAATCACTATTGGAACACCTCCTCAAACTTTCAACGTATTATTTGATACAGGTTCATCAAACTTATGGGTGCCGTCAAAACACTGCAGTATTTTGAACATAGCATGTAGTAAGATATTTGATTACCAATTTTTCTTTCTTGAATTTAATAGTTAAATTTAAGATTATAGATTTTAAGTGGAGCAAGGAATATATTGATTTTACTATTTGTGCAATTTTTTTTTTTATGTGTGTATTAACAACTTTTGTACCAGTAATCTTGTTTCAATCAAATTTTGAATCTAGTTGGTGCATATAGGAGATCATTTTTTTTTTTAAAGCATTTTGTCTACCGGAAATCTTGTTAGAAACTTCAAGAATAAATTTTGTCTAGTAGGTATTTTAGTAATTCAATTTTCCTAGTATCTAACAGGAAAATCTACAGTAATAATAGTTTCATTATTTCCGATTTCACTGTTTTAGTTATCTAAAATAAATTTGGTTAAAAGACCTGAAACTTTTAACAAGGATACCAATATTGATCTTTTCTAGACGTAGTAATATTTTCAGAAAATGCTGGTGATATTTTAATTATTTATAGCATTTGATATAATAGTTTATATTTGATTTTATGTGGTTAAATTTATTTAAAAAATTTACTTGTGGTTCATCATGTTGTAATTAATGGTAAAAAAAAGTCAAGGGTAATATATTAATTTTTATTAGTGTGTTTTAAGTTCAAATTGGTATGAAAATCATAAAAATTACGACTTTAAAAAATGTTTATTTGAAATTTGATTAGAAACACATATCATTGGCATTTTTATAAGGTACCAACATATTTTTAACTTTTTTTCTAGAGTTGCATAATAAATATAATATGGTTAAATCAAGTACATACAAAAAGAATGGAACAGAATTTTCAATCTGTTATGGTACAGGAAGTTTAAAAGGTTATTTATCTACTGATGTCGTTTCAGTGAGTAAAATGTTTATAAAATATAATCATTTGATAATACTATGTTATTATGTAATGAACTAACAATAACTATTCAGATGGCTGGTTTTTCTATATTTCATCAAACTTTTGCTGAAGCAATTGATGAGCCAGGGTTAACTTTTGTCTTGGCCAAGTTTGACGGAATACTCGGTTTGGGATATCCATCAATATCTGTTGATGGAGTAGTTCCTCCATTCTACAATATGATTGACCAGGATATTATCAAAAATCCAGTGTTTTCATTTTATTTTTCGAGGTAGTACTCATATGATAAATATAAGTTGACATTAGTTTTAATTATTTTGAGAATTCTGTAAATTTAAATTTTAGAGATCCATCTGAAATTCCTGGTGGTGAATTAATATTCGGTGGTTCTGATCCTGAAAAATATACTGGCAACTTCACTTATGTCCCTGTTTCTAGACAGGGTTACTGGCAATTTGGTTTTGATGAGTATGTATATTTATCCATATTTTGTATAAAACTGTCTTGATTTTACTTATAAAAACTGTATGTTATTAATGTTACCTATTGCATACGTTTTTGTTTGTAAAGAGTAACTGTTGGAAAAACATTAGTTCTGAGTGGTGGAAATATCCAAGCAATTGCTGATACTGGCACTAGTCTAATTACCGGACCAAATAATTATATTAAGCAAATTAATAAGCTCATTGGTGCTACTGCTTTGTCAGGAGGAGAATACAGGGTAATATTTAAATGTTTATATTATTTTTATTGGTACTAATCTTACTTTTTTTTAGATTCCTTGTAATAAAATTGATAAATTACCTACTGTATCATTTGTAATTACTGGCACAACATTTAATCTCGAGGGAAAAGACTATGTATTGAAGGTGTGTTAATGGTTTATTGTTTCATTATTTTGAATATATTCATTAAAATAATATTATTTTTTGTTTTCAAGTTTAAACAAAATAAAACAGACAAATGCATAACTGGTTTTATGGGTTTTGCTGAAAAATTCTGGATATTGGGTGATGTTTTCATTGGTCGCTACTATACTGAATTTGATTTGGGAAACAAGAGGATTGGTTTTGCTAATTGTAAACATGTTTAATTCCAAGTATAAGCGTATACATAGAACCGATTGAAATGATTGAATATATAAGTGATTAAATATGATTTTTAACTTGGTTTACACAATTATTTTCCTTATTTTAATCATTTTGGGTTCATATCGGTATATATTATAAATGATATGTATTTATTGAAATAGTAACTACACTAATGTTGTAATATCTATGAAAATAATGAACAAATTTAATTTACTTTGATATTATTTTATTTCAAAAATATGCTCTAATTTTGATTAGGTTTTTATTTTTTTTTTATTTTTTTTTACAATTTACAAATTGATCACAATATTGTAATAACAATTAAGTTGCTATTCCAGTATTAACAGAAGTTGTAAACAGTTTTATAAACTGTTAAATACGATTATACTTGTCGATTTCTACAGATTTATTGTTATTAGTTTTAACAGCTGTACTTACTACAATAATTATTAATATATATCATACCTACTGTAATGTTCAAAAATATTATTAGTAAGGATTTTTCTTTTATCTGCTATTAGATTTTATTTTAATTGATTTTAAAAATAAAATAAATTATTATACCTACTAGTAGATACTACCAGCTGTTAACCGTGACTTTATCCACGTAGACTTTTATAATTTCTTCTGTACGGGGTGTATAGAAGGCAAATTAGTTATTATTGATATAGAAGTGATTTTACCTCGAAATTACACTTTTATGCTCTTGCAAAGTCACCTATCTGAATGATATTGAGTTTTAAACCAGTATATGAAAACCAAAGTTGTCCGCTATTTATATATATAACACTGTCGTTCCGATGATTCATATAAAGTTATTTTTCTGTATTATCTTTGATACCTCTTTTAAATCCTTAAAAGATTTTATTTCCAAAAATATCCAAAACCGTGTTAAACTTTTTATTTGATAACATATTAACACAAAATTTTAGTTATTAACCACATTTTTAATTTTTCTCTTTTTAAATTGTGATGCCCCTTTTATCCTATTAAGAGTCAAATTTGCAAAATCAGCCAAACATGTTTTTAACTATTAACTTATTTAGGTATTTGATAGATTCTTTAGTGTTTACACAATGTTTTTGATTATTAAAAGAGTTGAACTCATTAAACTTTTAATGATTGCTTAATATGGAACTTTCTTACAAAATTTCTAGTTTCTAGACACAACATTTTGGGCTATGCATTGGACTTTTTAGTAAGTTTCATTCTTATTATAATATATAATATATACACCATACCTTATATCATCTATGTATTACATTGAAAAAAAAAATGTTAAGAAAAATATATGAACCCATGTATGATATAAATTTTTCAATTTTAGTTTTCAAAGTTTTCAAGCTTAGCAAGGGAGCTATTGGTTTTACTAAGATGTATATTTTTTTTTTATTTTTATTTTCTTCTAGCTTGTGGACGCATTTTGTCCTAGTAAACTTTCTTCAATTTTTATGCGTAGTAACTTTTCTGAAAGCTTAAGTTTTCTAGATAGTACTTTAGAAAGGTCATAATTTTTTACATTTTTTAAATAAAAACACTTAAATGAGAAAAAACGAATAATTTCACGATTTCATAATAAAACATTAACGACGTTTTCTACTGGAGAATATGATTTAATCGATAAATCAGAAGACACCTTTTTTGTTGCCTTTTGATTTCCTTTTTTATGATAACATTGCCAAAACTTTTGAGCCACTTTTGAGCTTTTAACGAATTTTAAATTTTGGTAGTTTTTTTGCTGTGATTCGGTTATAAATACACGTATAGACTTGAAACTTGGTAACAATATTTATATTGGACTTACCTTGATGTGGTGAAGTTTCCAAAATCGTCGGACAAATTTTTTTTTTAATAAGCGTTTTTAAAATCAAATTTAAACGAAAATCGCAAAAAAAATTACGGCACTTCAAATTATGTATTACCAAAATCGTCTTTAGTCAAACAATGGTTTATCGTTGCTAACAGGTATAAATGAAATAACATTACGTATCCTACCTTCCCAACTTCTCACCTACAAAAGTGGCCGCTCCCATCCCCAGTATCAGCACTTTTTTTTTTATTGTATAATTTTGAAGATGTGTAGGGGGTTTGTGGGGCGAAGCCCCCTACATATTACTAATGGTATAATATTAAGATGGAGCTATAGCCCCCTCCTAAAATTGTGTGCTAGTTGCACCACCGATTACTATTATCTAATAAGAAAAGCAGTCAGTTTTAAAGTTACTTAATAGATAAATGGTACCTACGTAGCTTAGTAGGTTTAACTTAATACGATTAGCTTAATAGACACTTATTAAATTAAAATTAATATAATCATAAACTCAACATTATATTTAATACAAGTACCTAGCTCATACTCATAATTTTAATTTGCAACCACTTAAAAATTAATAAAGATTTTATTTTTAGCGTACAGCTCTTCGACGGTCTTTTAAGAATATGGCTTGTTGAGTAGGTAGTTATAGAGTAAAGCCCTTGAAACGAAATACACTGGCACGCTTTTAAGATAAATGTTTAAAAAAACATAAAAATAAAAAATGCATTGATAATGTTACTATTAACATACATATATAATATCTATATAATAAATATCATAATGACTAGTCAATAATCGTGATTAGGTATACATTTCTGTGACTGATGATAAATCATTAAAAAATTGCATAATTTCCAAATTTGTTTATTTTGTGATGTCCAATATCGAATTTAGGGGCAGGCTAAATGAGAGCCTAGGGCGACTTTTTTTGGGGTGGGGGAGGCTTTTTTCTCAGAATGAAGAGTTATTAGGTATATTTATTTTAATAAATATTTATAGTATAACCACGAATAAAAATAATTTTAAAACGTTATAATAATATGTACGGTGTACCTAGTAAGAATATTACAATTATTATTAAAATTTGAAAATACTTCATGTATAATATAATCAGTGTTAGTGATAAATTAGTCTGTACATGTTAAGAACATTTGGGGGTGCTAATTTTAAAACTAAGGGTGCTAAGTACATCCAAGCCACCCCCTTCCCTAATTACGCCAATGCCTTTTAAAACACGTATAACTGAACCCTGTTCAGAATCATTTTTCATTAGCAATGCATAATGATTAATCGTTGCATACAGTCATACAGAATATATAGGTACCTACATTGAATTCCCTTCTATATCCCATATTAACTTCTCACTTTTCATCCACAACGGCTACAACAGTCCACGGTGCGATGTGTGATGGATTTCCGTCTATTTTAGTGGTATTTTTATTACCCATGTTTTGGCTACTTCTATATTGTTGACTGATAAAGAGTTAGGTGATAACTCGAGTCTCTGAATTAATGCAATCACTTTCGTAATATTATTATTTTTATTTCATTTAAAAAGCACCTTGGTGTTTTATATCTTGTATTTGTACCAATTTGTATAGCAAGTGAAACAAATTGACTAACATACTTAACGTAAAAATATTATTGGTATAATTGCGATGTACCAGTGGTATTAATGCACATCTATGCCAAATGCATTATAGCTATAACAATATTCACAATAGTGTTGATATTGTATTCGAATCCGAAGATCGCTGTTAATATTAAATCAAATATTTTGTCAACAAATCATGTGGCATCCAACAAAGCAGAGTCGAAGATTAGCATTTGGATATCGGTGACGAAAATCGACCGCGGACACTTGTTGACCAAGTTCCGTAAGTTTTTCAAGTCATTAGTCAGTCAGCGCGGCCTGTGCCGTGCTGTTTTCGAATTAAATGTGATAACCGATAATGTTAGTCGCCCGACAGTGGACAGTGTAATACACGAATTCAGTAAACAATACAAAGAGACCCTATTGGAGGTAAACATTTGCTTATAACAATTTGTCGGTTTCAATTTAACAATGTTAATATTTAATATTCAACTAACCTGTAATATGTTGAATTTTAGTTGATATATTATGATTTTCAAGACGTATTGAAAATTATAGAAAATAAAATTGAACCGTTGAAAAGATTCTTCCAGTCATCTAAAGGGTCATACTACAGCGATGATGTCTTCTATTTATCGCCAGCACTTCACCTAGTCGCACCTAAATCTTTGCAGAAAGCTATTGTGATAGATGTTGATACGGAATTTCAATCTAGCGTTTGTGATCTTTACGATGTTTTCAACAAGTAAATCATTATTGAAAAGAATTGTCTGTTAAGTGTAAACAATTTTAATCGTCAGTATTGTTGCAGTTTTACTGATACACAACTGTTTGGTTTGGCCCCGGAACTGTCGCCCGTATATCATCATATCCTGTGGAAATGGAGGAACTATAAAGGCGAAAAGTACAAATCTCGAGAACACATTTACCTGAATGGCTTAAACAGCGGTGTCATAATGTTATATTTAGAACGAATACACAATAACAATGAATACAATCAACTCATTAGCCCCGAATGGATCTCTAGTGTTGTTCAAAAGTATCTGTTCAAAGTAAAGGAACACATCAGTGTGCTATTTGTGATTAAGAGGATGTTATATACGCGTCTACTGTCTCAATCCAACTACTAACTACTGTTATCCAACAAAAAAAAAAAACAACATAGTACAATATAGAATAAGTCAAACTAGCTGAATTTTGATTTCGGAGTAAAAGTACCTATTATGAAATTCATAGAGAACAATTTTTTGGAGGGAATGTCAATTGTTTTATGATTTATGAACTATTAAAAAAGTTAGAAAAAAAAAAAAGTTTTTGTATCTTTTATATCGAGCTGTATATTTTGAATAATACAAAAACCCAATGACATTCCGTCCAAAATATTGTTCTCTATAAATTTCATAATTAGTACTTTTACTCTAAAATTAAAATGTAGCTAGTTTTACTTATTCTGCATAAGTATTGTTTTTGCATGTTACCTGGTAGTTGGACTGAGACAGTAGATGCAGGTATAACGTACTATTAAATCCATTTGATTTATTGTTTGTAATTTTAAGGGTCATTTGGGTGATCAAGACTGGTATACCCTGGTAAGCTATGAACGATCAGACTTAATATATCGATTGCCGTGTGGATGGAATCGCCAGCTGTGTACTTGGTGGAAGCAACATGGTTATGCTGATTCATTTGACTCATTTGCAAAGTGTTCAGAGAAAATACATTTGTATCACGGAAATTGCGATACACCTATTACACCTAATTGATATATGAAGGCTCATGTACAGGATGCATGCATTATATTTGTTCAAACTCTAAACAAAATGTGAAAAAATAGAACAATCCTTTTCCAAAAAAAATGTAATTCCTGTATACATGCCTGGACTTACGTATATATATAGAACAAATGTGGTAATGTGCAATACAATATTGTTGTTGTTTTCATAAACTTAAATGGTTTTTATATCTAGACTATAAATGTTTAACAATTTATTTGAATTGTTTTTAATTTTTATATAAAGTTACAAATATAAAAATATATTTTTAATATTTAATATAGTTGGATTTACATTTTTTTTTTTTTCATTTTTTCTGCCCCAAATTAATTAAATTTTAAAAATTTACAAAGTTGTTTTTTTTATACTTAATGACATTTTCCAAAATAAATTAGTAGGTGTATATTTGTTTGCAACTTAAGTTTAAACAATGTGGTTATTGTCGCGGTCGTATCATAATTAATAAAGTTCGACAACTAAAAAAAAAAAATGCAACATAATAATAATATAGTATTTTTTTATTATATTTAACTGATCAATTTGTTCATAAAAAAAAAAACCGTAATAAATAAATAGGAACAGATTATTCTGTTGTAATACAATACTATAATGTTTTGCTAAAAATAAACATAAAAAGAACAAATACAGAAACTGACACAACAAGCATTTGAACTTGAGTATGTCATCACGTATATTATACATATAAAAAAAAATCATATAATATAATATAATTATTGCTTTTCAATACAATTTTTATGATAATAAAATAATACCTAATAAGTTAATCATTTTGTATTATTCGATGAAAAATATTGCACGTTTTTCTGTTCATAAAAAATAATATATATATATATTTATACATTACTTATATGACGTACAAATAATAATGAGCAATACGATATGATTGTCTTGGTTTATAATAATATAATATTGAAAAATATTATGCTATGTAATCTAAACTAACACTACTTACTACCTAATACCTATATCGAATAACATAATCGTACAGGGGAATTTTTTTATTTTATCAACTGTTCACTGAAAATGTGTACATTTTTTTGATTTACATGCATAGCTTATTGATTATACTTATGTATAAATTGTCAGAATTTAATTTGAAGATAAAAAGAAAGAAACATGGATTTGGTAATAATTTATAATCCACAATATAAATCTAATGAAATGATAACAACTTGATTTGTTATATACACATATTTATATATGATATTATGAAAATGAAGTAAGTTTTTTTTTTCTTGAAAATATTGCTACATATCTGTTACAATAGTAACAAATAACGCAAACTAAATGTATTCAAAATATTATTATTTGGTTAATCGCCGATTCGCACAGTAATAAAAAATCACCCTGTATATACGATGGAAATATTCATGGATATATAAAATATTTATTTATGAAAATATTATACTTATTGATTAGATAAATACTAATAAATGTATAAAAAAAGAAACTCTAATCAATAATCTATTCTCGCGTACTACTAAACTGCCGTAAATCGAAAAAAATAAATGAGATTACACTGTATTACGTTTAACTTCATAGTTTTGCACATTTTTGTAGTATAATCTAATTTTATTTATTTTTTTTTTCGATTTACTCCGTTTTTTTCTTAGAACGGCAGTATATATATGTACATATTAGGTTTACAAGATTATATTTTGTAATATTTACAACGTTAATTTCCTATAAATAAATATTATAAAGCTTAACGTTTAGGCGCTATAACTACTGTTTTACACCATGGCTGTTGGTGTAAAATTATCTAAAAAATAACATTAAAGTATATTGGACGGGGTTAACTGATAAAAGGTTTGTTTCATCCTCATCAGAGTTCGTTCTAAAATCTAATACTAACATAATAAACTGCAGTGTGCGTATAACGACAGGTGTATATCACGAAAGTCTAAATAAAAATATCTAATTGTTACGTACCTATAATATTATAAAATAATTATGAATAATAATAAAAAAAAAAAAATTAACAAAACGATAAAAATATTACAATTTAAGTACTTAGACCCGCAGGGGACAAGGGGACAGATCATCAGTCAGTAATAATACTGCAGTTTTCAAAAAACAAATAATAATAATAATAATACAAATTAATACTGATTGAATAACAAATAGTAAATAAAAAAAAAAACAATTTACCTACGTCACCAAGGCTGGTCCTGGTCATAGAAAAAAATAATATGTAAACGAGATTATAATGAAGAAAGAAAAATACATATAAATACAATAAGACGTGTGCGAGCTGTACGAATGTCAATAGGACTTATTATATTATTGTCTAAAATTCATAAGTTCAGAGTACGAAATGTCCGAGAATAATTTCAAGTTCACTTCCCCCCCCCACCTAGTATTAACTTTAAAATTTACCCAAACGTATACAAGTTCCGATGTTACGATCGTATTATCATAATTAAAAAAAAAAAAAAATTCACACCGTTTATTTTTAGACATATTTTTTTTAATTGAGTACCTATAATAGTAATGATTTTGGGCGTTATTTTTCGGACACGTTTCAATAATGTTTTTGTTTTGGACGTTCTGCAATACAATTGACCGTGAAATCGTAGACTTATAATATTATCTTTACTGGATTTTTTTTTGATTTTTTTCGACACTTCAATTGTACCGGTTGTTTTACACATTTTAACTGCACCGGTCAAAAAAATAAAAAAAAATACCATACATTTGCACAAGTATATTATATAATATAATATATTATTATGTATTATAACTATCCTAAGGAGAATACTGTGTCATCAGGTCGGTGCCGACCACGGCCACCGGTTTCCGAAGAATCGGCGATACTTTGAGCCCGAAGTTGTCGTAACCCGAGAACTCGAGCGTCGCGTCTTCGCACGGCAGTTTGTTGGACGAACCGCTGCTGCTGTTGCTCCCGCCGCCCGCCGACGAGCTGTTCGTACGCTGGCCGGCCGACGACGAGGCCGACGTGGCCGTCAAGTCGGTCTGCGTGGCCGCCAACGAAGTGCCATTGTTCGTCGCTTCGTTTTTTTCCGTCACCACCTCGCTCACCGTTATCACCCTGTCCTTTTTCTTCAAATACTATATATATAAAAAAAAAAAAAACCAACAAAAATCACTTTAAAATGAAAAAGAAAAAATATCATCGCAGTGACGGATATCTTGGGAGGGGGGGGNGGGGGGGGGGGGGGGGGTGGAGGAGGGAGTAATTAGCGTAAACCCCTTGGGGTTTACGTTGCTTTAAATTAGTACAGTATTGACTGGAAATGCGTTGTTACACGTTTTGGTATCCGAATAAATATTTTAAACGTGCAATACCTGTACATAAGCTGTTGAAATTTCGGGGAAGATTCGAACAGGAGCGTGTTCCATACGCGTAATACGCATCCAACTGGCGAGGCGTTTAACCCCATGACCCCCCCCCCCGTAAATTTGACATTGGCCCCTCACCCTGAAAACTGAGATAGGTACAACCGTCACTGTCTATACAGTTGAGCAGCTTGCTCAAATCATCATTCATTGTTTTAATAATACTTTATACAGAAAAAAACAGAATACACGTATATAAGACCTTGGGTAATAATAATATGCGAAATCCAGTGATTTTTCATTACTGACACAGGTTATGTACAGCCGTCGCCGACCGCGTTGTGGCGTAACATTACTCTCGAGGCAAAACCACCGCACAGGAGCGTGACAACCAATAACAAATTAATCATTATTTGGATATTTAGATAGTTCTTATTGATATTTTCGTATCTTGCTACCCGCCTAATGTACACTCGAAATGATTGTAATTTAACGACATCGCGACCCGACGCTAATGTGTCGTAAATTACGAGACCAAGTATTCCGGGGCGACACTGCAGCAACTTGTGCTGGTACGTTTCGGGGAGAGACTATTATACAGACGCGATTCGAAAAGGCCATGAAAATGAAAATAAAATGCATCAATTCACCAGGTACCTGATGTAAATTACGGTGTACACAATATTTTATTTTGGGAATGAATGCCTAATTAAGAACAACAATATGGCGTCTGACGTCTCCCTATATTATGCGGTGTTACAATACACATACCTATGCGGACGCGTCTCGGAGGCGTTGTGCCTCGGGTACGTACCTGAATTTTTGAAACGTCACGTACCTGCCCGCGCCTACTAGCGGAACGAAACGCATTATTGTTATGTGTGAACAAATGCAGACGACCCCCTCGGACGCATACATCATTACGTAGGTATAGATGAAGACAAAACGTGTTTCCCCCCCCCCCTTCAAAAACAGGTAGGTACATTTTTGTTGTATTGTTCTTGGCGCGGGGAACAATACATACTGCATAGGTAGGTGCCTCTATCTACACAACGTGTAATTGTTTATTTCGGTATTGAAAAACTGTATCGTTCGCTTCGGTATTCTTTCTGTCTCTTTGGTTGCCGGGCACCGAGAAGCAAGAGACGAATAGAGAACAACACGATACGGCGGAATTATCGTACCGGTATTAAGTTTCGTTGAGCGACAAAGCACCTGCAGCACAATCGGTCACGACGAGAGAATGTTTTAATGGCGGGGCGATGTCAAAATAAATCTACACGGCAATCTCGTGGGAGGTTAACTCTACACAACTCCCTTCCCCCCTACCGCCATTGAATAACTTATCGCCAGGGCTCGGAAGTCACGGCACAAATAAAGTAAACTGTTAGCGCTTTAATACGTATTCCAGAACACCGTAATAAGAGTTATACATTGTGAAGAGTTATACTAGAGTTGGAAAATATGCAAATTAAAATTTCGTCGACGAATTTTTTTTATAAATTAATTTTAAGACTTTTTTTTTTAAAATTATACAACTTTTAAATAAAATACGGTGATAGGTATTTGAGAAATGGGTACTTTGTCTGGCTCTAAAACCTCAGCTTAAAGTGACATTTACCATTTATTTTGACATAAACTATTAAGAAATAATATTACTTACCTAGTATATAATAATAAACTACGAATATTTTGATACCTATCAATATAATTAAACATTTATGATTTTTTTAATTTTATAATAGTTTTGAAAATTTCCATTTGAACTTCCGATTTGTATGTAATAACAATATACTATATAAATACGGCTCGTGAGGGGATCTATCGTCCATATCTTACCCGTAATTATGTCCCCGAGCACAATACACCTACAATGAGTATAAGTCACATGACGAAAAAAAGGAGAAAACGAAACAGAAGTTATTGAAGCAGCAATGTAATTTCAACCCCGAGAAATT